ACTGAAAACATCTTCTCTGGATCTCAGTAAATAATGTGATGATGTATGTGTATTCCGAGGCTCTCAATGCTTCACACTACCCAAGAGCAGGGCTTTCGGCTACACATTCATACTTTCGAAAATAAAGTGCTCAACTGCTGAAAATGATCCGGTTTCAGTGCCGCAGTAAGCCGGTAAGGCAACAGCCATGCAAGGCGTAAGCTATACACAGTCTCTGATGCAGCTTGAAGATCTGTTCATCTTGTTTCATCGATCTCACAGATCCCGACGACTGTATTTCCAACCCATGCAAGAACGGTGCAACATGCAGAGATCGAGTTAACGGCTACACCTGTGATTGTCCAGCTGGGTATGTTGGTCCACAGTGTGGAACAGGTAAGTCAATCCCTGTCCTAATTCTTTTAGAAGCACCATCGTCTTTCTCCTCCGTTCCCCACCAGGCTAATCCTCAATCTCCTCCTCATCATCATCATCCCTTTCCTCTTCCTCCTCCCCTTTCCTCCTTCTCCTCAGCCTTTTTCCTGGACCCCATTCTTTTTTCTCATGTTTTCACCGGTTCCAGTCAATTTTCCAAGAACCATACCGGTACTCAAAATTATACCAACATGGGGTACTGCTGTCCCCCCCCCCCCCCCCCCACCATCACCACAGTCAACTTGCAAAGTTGTAAGAACTGCTGTTCAATGGTTCGACTTACCCAGCGTGGTGCCCGTATTCCCTATCCAGGATAAGAAAGCAGTCTCTGAACTTGAAGACTAGAGCAATCAACTGTGTGCTTGCTGATATAAACCATGGTGATGAGGTCCATGTGCAGAGCAATGCATGCTACCGTGTATGAGACCCTGATGTAGTCATGATTCGCAGAGTGATGCATACTAGTGCACCCATGATGCAGTCATTCATGACATGATTCGCAGAGTGATGCATACTAGTGCACCCATGATGCAGTCATTCATGACATGATTCGCAGAGTGATGCATACTAGTGCACCCATGATGATGTCATTCATGACATGATTCATATGCATACTACTGTGTAAGGCCTTGTGATGAGCTCATCAAGCAAGCTGCCTCTACTCCAGCTGCTCAGTCACTGTGTCCCGGGGCTAGCTACATGTCTGGGGCACTGATGTGTTGGTCTCACCTGAGAGATGTCTTGGTTTTTGTGAAATCTCTCAGATCCCGATGACTGTCAGTCCAATCCATGCAAGAACGGTGCAACATGCATTGATCGAGTCAATGCCTTTGTCTGTGAATGTCAAGCTGGATACATTGGTGAACTGTGTGGAACAAGTGAGTGATGGAAAAGAAGTACAGTTTGTGCAGTCAGGAATAACATTAACTGAAGCCTGGCAATGGCAGTTTCGGTACAGGTCAGACCTCGCTATAACGACCCCCGCTATAACATAAACCTCACTATAACGTACAAATGTGAATGTCCCTGCCGAAACCGCATCACTTCTGTACAAAATTTCCTCGCTATAACATAATCCGCTATAGCGTAATGCTCGCTATAACGCACTGTTTGCTGGGTCCCGGGCGCACGGAGACCTCAGCATAATGTAAAAAATCGTATAAAAATGACTATGTACACGGCATGCATGCCTTTCTTGAGACTGAGCTGTCCACCTCGGAAGCAGGGAGTAGTAAAATACCGGTATTTTACTACTCCCATTACTTTTTTATAGGCTCTAATCTTGTCACATGCACAAGACACGCACTACATGACTCTTGTCACACCTTTGCTGACAAGCCTGTACACATCTTTGCTAGTCATCATCATACCTGTATGTAAAACAGTACAGTTGTAATCAGTAAGTGAAGAGCGTCATTTTGACATACATATTGCATATTGGTGTGCCCAACTCACTACAACATAAACCTCGCTATAACATAATTTCTCCCATCCCCCAGAGATTACGTTATAGCGAGGTCTGACCTGTAATTTACTTGTACTAAGACTCTGGACCCGGGGAGGGGGTGTTTCCTGGACCCGGGGAGAGGGGGGTGTTTCCTGGACCCGGGGAGAGGGGGGGTGTTTCCTGGACCCGGGGAGGGGGGTGTTTCATGGACCCGGGGAGAGGGGGGTGTTTCCTACTTCATGCCTACGTGCACACTAGATATGCACACCACACCGTTCCTTCTGTGTCTGTGTGTGTGAAAAAAAAGAAAAAAAATGAATTCACTAGCCATAAAAATCCACTTCAATCAGCCATGTGATGTAGACCAGGCTAAAATAGTAGTGGTCCATTCATCAACCTCGCAAGCTGTTGAATGGTGTAATCCCAGCACAAGTTTCTTTGCCTAACATAGCTTGTTGACTATCATCGTTTCAGAGATGGGCATGTGTGCATGTGTGCCTTATGCTATTTTAAACCTCTTTGTCTTCGTCTTCTTCTTCTGCATATGACTGATTGTGCATTATTTTTTTGTGTTCTGGTTGGACTTGGTCTCTGCTTATCTTAGATCCTGATGACTGTAAGTCGAGTCCATGCAAGAACGGTGCAACATGCAGAGATCAAGTTAACGGCTTTGTCTGTGACTGTCCAGCTGGGTATATTGACCCACAGTGTGGAACAGGTAACCTGTCCAACAATGCTCTTCTCTTGTTACTGCTGAACAGTGCTGTACTCAGTACTCAATATATGCATGATGAGTCACACGTCCTACCCCTCTCTCGTCCTCCTCCCTCACTCACTCATCTTCCCTCACACTCTCCTCCTCCCCCTCTATTGCTCACCCTCTTCCCTCATTCCTTTCGAAAACTGAATTCCTTTGCTAGAATCATAGATACTTAAAATACATATCCCCCGTGGTACTGCATGCACATATCGCAGAGCTGAATCAGGATTCAATGAGATCAAGTGGAGATGTACACCGTTCAAGAACATCTCCACCTAGACTTTCATGCATACCTCGATGACCGGGGAACCTATACAATTGACTTTGACCATTCTAATTTCTCTATAGTGCTACTGAGACAGGTAAGAAGTCGAGACGCTCAAGCACTGTAGTACAATACTGAAAACATCTTCTCCAGGATCTCGCTAAACAATCGATACATGCGTTCGGCAATGCTTGGCTGCCCTAGACTAGAGCTTGCCTACTCATTCCTACATTGGCAACTATACGTCTAAACTGCTGCAATTTAGGTTTCAGTGTTGAATCAACAGCCAGTCTAGGTGTACGCTACACCAGCATAGTCTCTGATGCAGCTTGAAGATATGTTCAATCTTGTTTCATCGATCTCACAGATCCCGACGACTGTATCTCCAACCCATGCAAGAACGGTGCAACATGCAGAGATCGAGTTAACGGCTACACCTGTGAATGTCCAGCTGGGTATGTTGGCCCACAGTGTGGAACAGGTAAGTCAATCCCTGTCCTAATTCTTTCAGAAGCACCATCGTCTTTCTCCTCTTCCCCCATCTCCTCCTCCTCCTCATCATCATCCCTTTCCTCCTCCCCCTCCCCTTTCCTCCTTCTCCTCAGCCTTTTTCCTGGACCCCATTCTTTTTTCTCATGTTCTCACCCGTTCCAGTCAATTTTCCAAGAACCGTACCGGTACTCAAAATTATACCAACATGGGGTACTGCTGCCCCCCCCCCCCCCCCACCACCACCACCACCGTCAACTTGCAAAGTCGTAAGCACTGCTGTTCAATGGTTCGACTTACCCAGCGTGGTGCCCGTATTCCCTATCCAGGATAAGAAAGTAGTCTCTGAACTTGAAGACTAGAGCAATCAACTGTGTGCTTGCTGATATAAACCATGGTGATGAGGTCCATGTGCAGAGCGATGCATACTACCGTGTATGAGACCCTGATGTAGTCATGATTCGCAGAGTGATGCATACTATTGCACCCATGATGCAGTCATTCATGACATGATTCGCAGAGTGATGCATACTACAGTGCATTTCAAAACTATGGACGCGTAGGGTTTTTGAAATATTTCAAATTTGGCTGGAACTTTTTGAGAATAGTTTTCGGAATATTGCTCAGGATCGCTCCACAATTACTCTCATATAGTTTCTAAAGGATTGGATAACCGACGCCCAATTTGGAAAAATTTATGCACAAAGTGATCACAGATTTTATGTGGTATAGATGCTGGCATAACGGTTTTTGCCTAGGTACACGTCTATAGTTTTGAAATGGACTGTAGTGCACCCATGATGCAGTCATTCATGACATGATTCGCAGAGTGATGCATACTAGTGCACCCATGATGCAGTCATTCATGACATGATTCGCAGAGTGATGCATACTAGTGCACCCATGATGCAGTCATTCATGACATGATTCGCAGAGTGATGCATACTAGTGCACCCATGATGCAGTCATTCATGACATGATTCGCAGAGTGATGCATACTAGTGCACCCATGATGATGTCATTCATGACATGATTCATATGCATACTACTGTGTAAGGCCTCGTGATGAGCTCATCAAGCTGCCTCTACTCCAGCTGCTCAGTCACTGTGTCCCGGGGCTAGCTACATGTCTGGGGCACTGGTGTGTCGGTCTCACCTGAGAGATGTCATGGTTTTTGTGACATCTCTCAGATGCTGATGACTGTCAGTCCAATCCATGCAAGAACGGTGCAACTTGCACAGATCGAGTCAATGGCTTTGTCTGTGAATGTCAAGCTGGATACATTGGTGAACTGTGTGGAACAAGTGAGTGATGGAAACGTTAATAAAAGATGAAATACAGTTTATGCAGTCAGGAATAACATCAACTGATGCCAATGGCAGTTTCGATAATTTTCTTGTAATACGACTCTGGAGGGAAGGGGGAGGGGGGAGGGGGTGCTTCCTACTTTATGCCTACGTGCACACTAGATATGCACACCATACCGTTTCTTCTGTGTCTGTGTCTGTGAAAAAAATTCACCGGCCATAAAATCCACTTCAATCAGCCGTGTGGTGTAGACCAAGCTAAAATTGGTAGCGGTCGTCAATTCATCAATTAACCTTGCAAGCTGTTGAATGGTGTAATCCCAGCACACGTTTCTCAGTCTAACATAGCTTGTTCATAAAGATAGTTTCAGAGATGTGCCTGTGTGCGTGTGTGCCTTATCTTATTAACCTCCTTGTCTTCGTCCTCTTCTTCTGCATATGGCTGCTAGTACATTACTGTTTGTGTTCTGGTTGGTCTTGGTCTCTGCTTATCTTAGATCCTGATGACTGTAAGTCGAGTCCATGCAAGAACGGTGCAACATGCAGAGATCAAGTTAATGGATTTGTCTGTGACTGTCCAGCTGGGTATATTGACCCACAGTGTGGAACAGGTAACCTGTCCAACAATGCTCTTCTCTTGTTACTGCTGAACAGTGCTGAACAGTGCTCTATTCAATACTCAATATATGTATGGCGAGTCAGACTTCCTACCTCTCTCTTCCTCTTCTATCGCTCACTCCTCCTCCTCTATCGCTCACTCCCTCTTCCCTCATTCCATCCTCCTCCTCCTCCTCCTCTTCCTCATCCTCCTCCTCCTCCTCCTTCCTCTTTTCATTTCCCTTTCAAGTTTTGATACCATCATTGAAAGGACCGAAACAGAATTCCTTTGTTAGAATCATAGATACTCACGGTAAGGAGTAACAAAATGACATACCGGTACTAGTCCCCCCCCCCCCCTCCCCCTCCGGTCACGTGTACTGCATGCACATATCGCAGAGCTGAATCAGGATTCGCTCGGAGATAAAGTGGAGATATACACCGTTCAAGCCGGAATATCTCAACCTACACTAGAGTTTCATGCATACCTCGATAACCGGGGAACCAATACAATTGACTTTTGACCATTCTCTATAGTGCTACTGAGACAGGTAAGAAGTCAAGATGCTCAAACAGTACTTCAGTACTTCAAAAGTAATACAAATGAAAACCGCAAACATCTTTTCCAGGATCTCGCTACACACCCGGTACATGTATTCGCTCAATGCTTGACTGTCCTAGAAGAGAACTTGCCTACTCATTCCCACCTTGGCAACTATATGGCTAAACTGCCGTAATTTCGGTTTCAGTGCTGAAGCAACAGCCATCAAGTTCTAGGTGTAAGCTATACCGGCCCAGTCTCTGATGCCTTAAGATCTGTTCAATCTTGTTTCATCGATCTCACAGATCCTGACGACTGTATTTCCAACCCATGCAAGAACGGGGCAACGTGCAGAGATCAAGTTAATAGATTTGTCTGTGAATGTCCAGCTGGGTATATTGGCCCACAGTGTGGAACAGGTAAGTCAATCCCCGTCCTAATTCTTTTAGAAGCACCATCATCTTTCTCCTCTTCCCCATCAGGCTAATCCTCTACCTCCTCCTCCTCCTCATCATCATCCCTTTCCTCCTCCTCCTACCCTTTCCTCCTTCTCCTCAGCCTTTTTCCTGGACCCCATTCTTTTTTCTCATGTTTTCACCCGGTTCCAGTCAATTTTCCAAGTACATGACGTACCGGTGGTGGAGACACACCTGGCAATATGGCGGTAAATACACGCCTGCCCACACACGCTCTCTAGGCTGCAAAGTTATTCTGGCACAGAGCTCTCCTTCTCACCGCCACCATTATTGGTTCGCGCCTGACGCCTATCGATGCATGGCTGGTGGTATATCCGACATAGCAGGCTGGTACATCAGATAGCGCATGGCACATAGCAGATGACACAGCAACAACATAGCTCGATTGTGACGTCCTGGTACTCAAAATTATAGCAACATGGGGTATTGCTGCCTCCCCCCACCACCACCACTGTCAACTTACAAAGTCGTAAGCACTGCTGTTCAATGGTTCGACTTACCCAGCGTGGTGCTCGTATTCCCTATCCAGGACAAGAAAGCAGTCTCTGAACTGTGGACTAGAGCAATCAACTGTGTGCTCGCTGAAATAAAACCATGGTGATGAAGTCCATGCGCAGAGCGATGCATACTACTGTATGAGACCCTGATGTAGTCACTGATGGCATGATTCGCAGCGCAATGCGGCATGCTGCTGTGTATAACCATGTGTTGAGCTCATCAAGCAAGCTGCCTCTACTCCAGCTGCTCAGTCACAGTGTCTGGGGCACTGATGTTTTGGTCTCACCTGAGAGATGTCTTGGTTTTTGTGACATCTCTTAGATCCTGACGACTGTAAGTCCAATCCATGCAAGAACGGTGCAACTTGCACAGATCGAGTCAATGGCTTTGTCTGTGAATGTCAAGCTGGATACATCGGTGAACTGTGTGGAACAAGTGAGTGATGGAAACGTTAAACTTGAAAAGTTTGTGTTTGTGCGTGCGTGTGTGTGTGGGGGGGGGGGGGGGGTGTATGTGCCTTATCTTCAATATTAATCTTCTTGTTTTTGTCACCTCTTTCTCCCCCTCTTCTTCTGCATATGGCTGCATGTGCATTACTTGTTGTGTTCTGGTTGATATTGGTCTCTGCTAATCTTAGATCCTGACGACTGTAAGTCGAGTCCATGCAAGAACGGTGCAACATGCAGAGATCAAGTTAATGGATTTGTCTGTGACTGTCCAGCTGGGTATATTGACCCACAGTGTGGAACAGGTAGCCTGTCCAACAATGCTCTTCTCTTGTTACTGCTCAACAGTGCTGAACAGTGCTGTATTCAATACTCAACTATAAGCTAGCCTTTGGGTAATCCTGAAAAAAAAGATTAATATTTCACGTATGACTACAGTCCATTCATTGGAAACTGGCACCCTAACTTTTTGTCTCCCGCACATAGTTGTAGATATCATGAAAACAACATTACATTCTGCATTGTGTGACCCGTGCAATTACTCCTTGCCACATTTGAGGCCACAAAAGTCCAAGAACAGGGAAATAGAAATTCAGCCAGGTTTTGCGAAATTAGGACAGGTATGCCCTGGCAAAATGTATGGAGAAGAAAGATCCAAAACCCACATTTTTGAGATTTAAAGTGGGTTTTGATCCTCAATTCAGCCCAAATCCGACTTTCAAAAGCCAGCGGGACTGTTTCCGATGAATGGACTGTAGTCTGACTTCCTGCCCCTCCTCCTCCCTCGCACACTCCTCAACTTTCACTCCCTCCACCTCCTCCTTCTCCTCATCCTTTTTTCCTGAATCCCGTTCTTTATTCTGATGATTTCACCATTCCAGTCATTGTCCAAATACATGTTGCTGTCAAAGTTGCAGTAACATAGGGTACTGCTGCATCCATGATATATACACAGAAGCCTTGCTTGGTACTTTAACATGTTTTTCGATATTTTGACAGGGTTATGGTTGTAGCCAGGAGCACTATGCGTCCTCGCCTTGTATACATGTAACATGCATCCATGATGTAGTCCTGATTCGCAGAGCAATGCGTACTACTGTGTAAGACCACGTGATGAGCTCATCAAGCTGCCTCTACTCCAGCTAGCTGCTCAGTCACTGTCCCAGGGCTAGCTTCATGTCTGGGGCACTGATGTTTTGGTCTCACCTGAGAGATATCTTGGTTTTTGTGACATCTCTTAGATCCTGACGACTGTCAGTCAAATCCATGCAAGAACGGTGCAACATGCATTGATCGAGTCAATGCCTTTGTCTGTGAATGTCAAGCTGGGTACATTGGTGAACTGTGCGGAACAGGTGAGTGATGGAAACGTTCAAAAAAAGTTTGTGTTTGTGCGTGTGAGTGTGTATGTGCCCTATCTTCAATATTAGCCTCCTTGCGTTTGTCCTCTTTCTCCCCCTCTTCTTCTGCATAATTATGGCTTCTGGTGCATTACTGTTTGTGTTCTGGTTGGTCTTGGTCTCTGCTTATCTTAGATTCTGACGACTGTAAGTCGAGTCCATGCAAGAACGGTGCAACATGCAGAGATCAAGTTAACGGCTTTGTCTGTGACTGTCCAGCTGGGTATATTGACCCACAGTGTGGAACAGGTAACCTGTCCAACAATGCTCTTCTCTTGTCACTGCTCAACAGTGCTGAACAGTGCTGAACAGTGCTGTATTATTCAACACTAAATATGTACAGTAAAAGTATTGGTCTTTAGAGCAAGGTCCCATACTTTGCGGCATACCGATCCTTGCAAACACATGTACTTCCTTGTACTATTACTCATATTATTGACAGGTGTTGGGAATAGAACGCTTTCGTGCAGACAAATCACCCGTGAGATTCACACCTCGCTCAAGGGCATTCAGCGCACCCGGCACTGTCACTTGCCGCTTCTGTTGACTGCTCGCACTCGCTTCTGAGCGCACTTCAACAGGGGGATTCCGAAGCGGAAAACCCCTCAACAAAAGCAACCTGATAACGCAGCACAGTAGGTATACTACATTGTAGATATCGAACGAAGTATACTATGTATGCTGGCATACACTGACGGGTGTGAGCAACCCTCACAACTCCCCATGTTCCGTCTGGTGTGTCTTCACATCTACATTTCTCAGATCCTGACGATTGTCTCTCAAGCCCATGCCGCAACGGTGCGACGTGCACAGATCGAGTCAATGGTGTCAGTTGTAACTGCACGACTGGATTCACTGGTCCACTATGTGAAACAGGTAAGCTGCGACGGAGTTGTTCTCATTGAGGTACACTGCAGCCCAGTGTTCACACCAATAGCAGTCCTAGGTTGGTGCAACGCCCGGCGTGTACTTAAGTGACTGGACTGGATTTCATTGAGCAGCACTGCATGATTGATTGCTGGGGCTTGGATCATCACCACAGTATGCACTGCTGTTGCTTTCTGGCTCGCCGGTGAGCAGTATTACAGTCAGACCTCGCTTAACCGCACACATCTGGTTTCCACAAGAAATATCCGGATAGGCGAGGGAACCGGATAATCGAACACGCATGCTCTATGCATGTATGTACGGCATATGCTGTAAATCGGTAACCAAAGATTTTCTTCCGGATGGTGAGGGATCTGGATAAAAGAGGACCGGATAAGCGAGGTCGGACTGTAATTGTCGATCAAATCAGGCAGCATGGGCTACTGCCTGGTGTGCGGTGGTGGTGCTGTGCGCATGTTACATAGTCTCAAACTCGTTCCAATCATGCATGCTCTGTACGAGTACTCTATGCTCCTCATTTCCTTTCCACAGTTCAATGCGGCACACCTCCTTCCATTGGGAATGGCTATCGGCGCTACACAACCACGCTGTACCAAGACAAGGTGAGAGACTGCTGTGCCTACATGCCTGCGAGTACGAACTGGTGCAAATCCAGTGTCGCTGTATTTGCGGGGCAAGAGGCTCTACGGACTCGAGACTGTATTTCCTTGGTCTGCATGTCACGGGACATAGTTCCCGGAGCCAATTGCACACATTTGAGTGCAATCATTGCTTTTTAGATTTTCTTCTGCACACAAATCCTGTGGACTTTGTTCCATGGACCGATGGTGAGGGGAGAAATTCCACACTTTTGCCCAGGCACACTTATGATAACACAACATTATTTTCTTTGAGCTTTGGGTCACTCACTGTTGTGCTACCCGATTGTTGTGTTCTGTGCATGCAGGTGAGATATACATGTGATCATGGTTACAGCATGCAGGGAATGCGGGAGCTGGTGTGCCAGATGAACGGGCAATGGTCACCCAAGCCACCAACATGCGAAGGTCAGTCAAGGCTTAGCACTCGCCGGTACTCGGTGTGAGCACTCTTTGCCTCGCCGGCACAATAGGACTGACAGGGGATGATGGGGGGGGGGGGGGGGGGAGCACTGCCCAGTTCAATACAGCTCAATATGCCCCGTCACACTGCAGTGTTGCAATCATGCCTTGCGTCCGAATGCCCTTCGTTCTGATGCATGGCTCTGGTCTAATGCATGGCTCTGTTCTGTTCTCACTGTGTCTGCAACTGCACTTCTCCGTCTTGTTTTGGATGTGCAGTGAAGTGTGGTGCACCACTACCGGCGGACTTTCTCCGCCAATACCAGACGTTGACAACCAGAGCTGGGTCACCTAACTGTGGGCAAACAGCTGCCGACATCATCATTGTGTGCGATGAGTCGGCAAGCATGCAGGCAGCACGCAAGGAGAGACTCCACACGCTCGTGGAAAGGCTGGACGAGTCGTTGAAGGAGCACGGCTTTGGTCTCTACCCTGGCATTCCCAACCAGTACAGTCTGGTCGGCTTTGGCAACTTCTACCGGCGGACAAACCGGCCAGTTCCAGCACCGCATGTTCTCGTCAACACCGCCAATCAACGAGTGTACGACATTAGCGGCTTTGGCCATGCGTGCAGCAATCTTCAAAATGATGGCTCACACGAAGACGGTTATTACGCAATCCAGTTCGCTTTGAACAACATCACTGACCCGCAGTCCAAGAGACAGCTGCTGCGACTGAGGGAGGCACACATTGCACCGATCATCCTCTTCATCTCCGACGAGGACCGAGACGTTCACCAACGCGGCGGTGCGCGGATCTCACGCAGCTCCGTCAAGAGAATGATCCGCAAGAGCGGAGCCCAGCTGGAGGCCATCGTCGACAACACCTTCTGGCACCAGGGTCAGGGCGGTTTCGGTGTCGACGCGACCGGCAAGCTCTACACGGCAGACAACTCCGGCGGATACACCACGTCCACTCCAGAATACATCAAGAGATACCTGCAGTTCCACTATCGCAAAACTCGCCGCGACTACACTTCGGTAGCGCTGGAACTCGGTGGCGCGGCGTGGGATTTGAAGGCCCTCATGCGCGTGGACCAGCTGGATCAATCGTACGTGGAGGCCTTCGTCAACCGCACCGTCGCCATGGTGGAGCAGAAAGTTCACAAGTGCTGCTCGTGCCAGTGTGTCACAGCGGACACTGATCGTGTTCTGCGATGTGACATGGCTGCCGGTGATGGCGAGTGCAAGAAGAGAGCAGTCAACGTGTTCCGTGGCTGAAAACAAGACGTAGTACATTTCCCCATGCTTCTTTTTAACCATTACCCTACTACTACTATGTGGTAAATGGTTAATGCTATTCTTCTAGCCCCATCTAGCATGCCCTACTCCTATTTGCTGCATGAGGAGGTAAGTAGATACCCAAGCCCACAACTGACTCTTGACTCCCTATGCTTTTGCCCGCTTGCAGTACATGTGCAGATTTGCACATTTTTGAACACCTTGTCCCTTCCCTGAAACTGTCCTTTCTCGCCAGCTTTGAACTAATTTTTAATAGTAGAACACACCTTTTATTCCACTCATCCGTCTTTTTGTCTGCGAAGGCAGCTTTCTTTGGCAGCTGATAAATATTTCATTCTAGTTTTCTTCTTTTTTGCTGTGTTTGCAGCTATTTGCAGCTTACTAATATAAACAAAGAACTTGCATCAAAACCAGGGTGCTGCTGTGCCATTTGATAGACTAGATGAGGTTAGGAGGCGATACGATACAAGGTCCCTGAACCGAGTCCGTCGCCAACCTGAACTAGAGTGAAAATTCAAGTGGGTACATCGACTAACAGATCTAGTTCCCAAATAACAGCAGTGGAAGACAACAAGAATGGCTTGGTCAACACAAATTGGCAATCGTCAATATGCAAAATTCAGAATAAACTTCAATACTAATGATATGTACAGTATCTGACAGTGCAGTGGTGAACATTCGCCAACGAACATGGAGAGGAACAAGACACTGGCTTTGCAGTTCAATGCTCGCAGGAATGGATCACATGCAGTTCAGCAATACACAGAATGACAATCATAAAGTCATCAAGTCCAGCTATGACGACACGCACACACACGAGCGCGCGCGCACACGCACACACACACACACACACACACACACACACACACACAGTATTAAAGTTACTTACAGAATATATACAACTTTTCAATCGTGCTATTTACACAAGTTTTCACGTGGAAATGCTGCAGTCCACCACACAGCTCACAAGTGATAGGCAGGCTGCACAACCCAGTTGCCTTTCGGCTTTGTTGGATCAGACGGTTCTTTCCGCGACGAGGTGAAGAGTGACTTGTAGACTCGGCTTGCGGACGGGTCTTCAGCAACGGTCTTGTACTGCTTGGCAGTCACAAGTCCTGTCATGGCTGCCTCAGCTACATTAAGCGCATTGCGAGTAGCGCCAGTTAGAACTACATTCGCCTCTCGCGTCGGCTTGGCCGAATCACTGCTCTTGGCCACTCTGGCCTTCTTCGCAGCACTTCCCTCAGTGGTAGACTTTCCTGTGCAAGCATCATCATCTTCTCCCAACGCAGCCTCGGCTTTGCGCTTTGATGCTTTCTTTGCTAGCTTGGCTTCTTTCTCAGCCTGCCGACGTTCCTCTATCTGGGCACGAATTGCATGTTGTTCCTCCTTATCTGGATTCAGGGTGCGCACAGCATCAGGCGTGTGCTCTGCATTGCACTTTTGACAGCGGGATCCACCAACCTCTTTCAGAGCTCGCTCCGACATCACACAGCCGCATGTTGCAATGTACATAAACTTATGACGACCGCTCATCTCGATTCCCACGATCGGGCACACAAACTGAGCATCGTACATGTCCACGTAGGTCTCTGCCTTGGCTCCATCAGTTGGCTTGTCACTGGATGATCCCTTACTGGTGAGCTGAAGCACAACAACGTCCTTCAGGCTACGAACGTGAGAAGCCACTTCAGGCTTAGACTTACTTATCAGCATCTCCAACACGGCCTCCTTATTGTACAGGTTTCCGAGCTCGCAGGACACAACAGGTTCGCGAAGAGGTTCACCGGTCAGAGCACATTTCTTCCATTTGATATCCAATTCCACGTCTCGTTCTAGCAAAGCTTTCTTCTTCTTCACACGAATCATGTCCGCTCGAAGCGGTATCGAACCACCATCACATCCCATCTTGACGGCGAGACAAGTCACGGAGCTCTGCCTCGCACCACTCCAACTTGAAATGTGCGTTTCTACACTAAAAAACAATGAACATCAGCGTCTGGTTTGTATGTGTAGAGCACTTCCAAACAACAACACTTTTTCAACAACAACACTTTTTCTGGATCGACATGACACAGTCGATATAGTCATTCCATTCTGGCATTCATGTCACCACGAGATCATTCGATTTTTGCTTGAGGGAAATGACGTAATGCAAGAAGTCTGAAGATCTTTTCCCATTTTTTTATTCTTCTTTCAAACTAATTTTACTTTACTTTGAAGTGACTCCATGATCCATGCCTGATCCAGGCCACCGAGCTACATTGCACTGTAGGACCGCTTTCTCAAGTTTGCTTCCAGATGGAGGGACTAGTGAATTCTATATTTGAACCAGGGGTGAATCAGTCTCTTCTTATCGCGACCAATTTTGCATTCTTCGTTTTGCTGTCGGTGCTGGTGCTCATTGCTGTTTTCGTGGATTTGAACATCCATGTCATTTTCATTTCCATTCTGACAACCCTGCTGTGGATAGCCATTAACTGGTACGTATGTGCGGAGCTACATTCAATCATTGAGCGAGGGCTCTAACTTCTAATACAGGCAGCGAAGAGTTTTTGAACACAATCTAGTAAATCTTCGAAATACCTTTTGATAATGTACATGTACATGTACTGAGAATTACATCCACTGCATGTGTTGCATGACTTGTACAGCTTTGTACAGTCTTGCATACATTTTGTTATGTGTCTTTAGAAAATATATGGTGTTCCTAATACTTTGGGCTCCCCCTGTAAGGTCAACGTCCTGTAGAATACACGGAAATCCAGTAATGTGCATGCGGTCCTGAAAACTGCTCATGCACTATCCGATATCATTATGCTTGTAGACTGAGAGCATGGCCAACCATGCATGCATCCTGTAATCCTTGTACATGTAGTATTTGCTCAGCTCTGTGTGTGTGTGTGTTCTGTAGGTTTATTTTGGAGATGGCCACCGTCACACCAGCTGAGCCGGTCACGAATGCGGACATCGGGGCTGACGATAGCGGTCATGCCTCGGCCGGGCAGGACACAGACACCAGTGCATCCTCATCACATGCCAAGGCTGAGTGAGCAGAGATATGCTTCAGGTCTGTGCTGCGACCATTACATCCAGTTGCCCTTCAATCACAAACCGAGGGCAATGTGAACGATGTCCACTCCTGCTGTGAGGGATGAAAAATAGACCTGTGTCTAATTGTAGATGCCAGGTGCTATTCAGAGAACGTAGCTCTGACTACCTCTACTGGCCAAACATGGTGAGCACCTCTGTTCCTATTGTCAGCAACCGATGAAGCTCCGGTATGGAGTGTAGCGTGTGCGAGTCTGCTCCATGCTCTCACTTTGAGCCCCTTTAGATAACCTGGTGTACCGCTGCGAAGTTGGTACCATTTCCAATGGACACACGTCCTTGTTGTATTCTCCCTGCCATAGTCTACCTGTACACCGTGGCGCTTGCCACATCAGCCACAAGTTGGATAGCTTGTCCTGCTTGCTGTGCTCTCTCTCTCTCTCTCTCTTTCTCTCTCTCTCTCTCTCTCTCTCTCTCTCTCTCTCTCTCTCTTTCTCTCTCTCTTTCTCTTTCTTTCTCTCTCTCTCTCTCTCTTACTCTATTCCTCTCTCTCTCTCTCTCTCTCTCTCTCTCTCTCTCTCTCTCTCTCTCTCTCTCTCTCTCTCTCTCTCTCTCTCTCTCTCTCTCTCTCTCTCTCTCTCTCTCTCTCTCTCTCTCTCTCTCTCTCTCTCTCTCTCTCTCTCTCTCTCTCTCTCTCTCTCTCTCTCTCAGTTGCTGCATCACTTACCCTTTGGCAAGTGGGGTTGCTGAGGATTTTGCCCACCTTGCTCAGTCCCTTTCCAGAGTTTGGGCATAGCTGTGGTCAAGTGGTAGCTGGATCTTTAGTTCTACACGAGCATGTAGCTCAGTTCTTTCGATCTGAGCATTGGCAATGTAGCTTCATTAACTTGTAGCAAACATCGACTCTTCCCAACTACCTGCCTGTCCATTTCATTTCCTAGTTTTTTTATTGGCTTATTGTACAATGTACTTACTATTATTTTATTTGCAGTAGTAGGTTAGTTATCTGTACGAAAAAGAGGCAGTGACTTTGGCAATAGATGTTGCTCCCTATGCCGGAGCTCCTGCTTTTCCTATCCTATGAAGCTAGTTCAGTAGGGAAAAGTGTGAGCCCTCGAGTCGTGTTTCTTGTTGAGAATGGCAAAATATATTGTGAAGAATCAAGGATGCGTGTCGCAGGCACTTGCGACACCCGTTTGTCATTAAATCATAGCACTGCCTTTACATGCTTTGCCATCTCGCGTAGACTGCATACGCTAATGACACTAAGTCTTGTACAGTCGTGGCCAAAGAATTTCGACCCGCATTAACCCGTTTACGGGTCGGATTTCTGTGGCCACGACTGTAGACTGTTGTTGCACTTCACTTCAGTGGAGACAGGAAAGTGGTACATGTATTGGTAAAATACATGCATGTACATTGTCAGAAGACTATAAGATTTGTGACATTCGACAGGTTGTATTATTGGTTTGGTCGATGTAACGAAGATTACAATCGTGGATAGGGTAAAATCTGTAAATGTGGCCCACTCTGATAAGACGACCACCTGGCCTGTCCAAGAAGACCACATGAAACTGATAGCAAACTATTTTGCAGCCTACACCTACAGCCGGTTCATGATACTGTACATGCATGACTTGTACAACTCGTACTTCGGTACAATCAGCATAATAAATAATCACCAGATCACGTGTGCACGTAAATAACTGTATGACTCATCATGATTGCATGCCATGTCGTCATCGACGGTTAGTTGCCAAGGTGAATCAAAATGCCTGCCTGAAAGTGGCACCAGCGAAAACGAAAGAAACGACCAGATATCTGGCTGGATAATTACCATGATTACTGGCATCAGATTTTAGACGCAGAGTCAGTGAGTGAATGTTTTGGAGGAAGTATTTTGCTTGATGGAAGGGGAGCATAGAAGACGCCTGTGCTGAATTTGGTTCTTGGTAGCTGTCTCTTTGAAAATAAAATAAGTATGGGCCGTGGGCAGAACAAAAAGGCCGGTGGACTTGGCCGCAGCATTGTGAAGGATCGTAAACGAGACACAAAGGGAGCTCGTGGAGGAGATAGCTGGGTAAGGAGTTGATATAAAGAAGAGCTATGCAAAGAATATTGATTATGACTGAAATGTGCTTCGTTAGTACCCATCACATAGAAATTCCAGCGCCAACTTAGGAATAACACTCGTTGCTTGCCTAAACGAGAATACTCTGTCCAGATCACATACAGTTGAACAATGATCCAGTTGTCTCGAAGCAAATCATACCAGCATTGCTCTTTGGTTTTCTTTCTGGCATACGGGGAGAGTATAGAAAACACGTTTCTAGCGGCGCAAAGCTGAAAGAGTGCCTACCGAACTTGGAAGTGTATTGTATCATCTAGGCTGTGCATGTGGATGTAAATCTTGATTTGGACATAGGTGTGCAGTCATCTAATTGTCTCACCACTGCTGCACCTGAAAAACAAGTAGGGACGCCACACCGCACGTTTGTGTGAGGTGCAGACCAAGGTCCAACTGTAACTTGATAGAGGAGGGAACTGGGGAACTGAACATTCATTACAACCATTGCACTGCAAGTGTGTGCCACGAATCTGCTACAAGCCGCTTCCAACGGAACCCATCAGCGGAAGCGGAATCATCAGCCCAGCGGAACCGGTCAGGCCAGGGCCCGACCACCTTTTGGGCCACCAACGCGTGTTTACTGCTGAGGAGGTCATGCGTACCCGCCATATCGTACACACAGTATGAGAGACTACTGTAAATATACAAATTTTCGGCAGCTATTTAATTTCGGCTATATTCGGCACCGACCCAAAACGCCTAAATTAAAACGCCGATGAAATTTTTCACAGCATCTGTCGCACTATACCATGCCCTCTACCCCACGCCGAAAATAAATCGCCACCGAAATGTCAAAAATCGTGAAGTGCCGAAATTTTGCAGCGCCGAAATTTTGTATATTTACAGTATATGGTATGGCCGGAGCAATCAAAAACTACTTTAGCCGGTCCTGATGGGGGGGGGGGGGGGGAGAGGATCAGGACTGTCCGGATTAACGATGCTGTGAGTTGCTTCCAAGTTTTATGTGTGGGTTATTTGACGATGTGTGTGTGTGTATGCGCAGTTCATGATTGCAATCCTACTGCATGAAAGCAGCTGTATCATTTTTCAAGTACTTTATGTGTCCTCTGTGCCCCTCTATAGCTGCACACCAGTGAAATAGACGATACCCCTGACTGGGCAAGACTGAACCTGACATCAGTCACTGAACAGAGTAGCTTGGACAACTTTCTGTCCACGGCAGAGCTTGCAGGAACAGAGTTCACGGCCGGTGAGGAGGTGTGCTTGTATGGTTCTGCTTGTGAAAGGATTGGCTGTGCTGGGTGTATGTATGAGAAACCCATGTGCATTACTGTAAGACATGTTATTATAACGAGTCGCAAATTTAACGATTGTCCAAAATTCATAGGTTAACGAGAAGATATGTTAACAATCTTGCAGTATTCTGCCATATACACACACAGCATATATGAAGCAGTACGGCCTCAACGGATCTATTATAACGAAGAAATGTCATCCGTTAAAACGTTAGATTTGCTTCCGTTATATATACATGTCTTACAGTACTATGCTGGCCTGTGAAACCGGCCATGGGTGCACTTCCTGCACTCCTGAGTCGAGAAGCCCTTGACACATTGCAGTACGCGCATACTGTGAAGCTTCAGCATATTCATTTCACATTCATTTGTTATTGGCAGTCATTTGACGAGCCAGGAAATGTTGAATAAATACAAACACAGATTATAGGATCCCCGCGGGAGAGGGAAGGGTAGTACACTATATCCCGGGTATGTTTTGTCCAAGTGTATGTGTATGCAGAAGGAAGAATGTTGTTTGTGACTTGATCCACACAAGTTGGGGTTCTCAGTGTGCACTTAAAATTTTAGTCGGACCACATAATATCATCCCAGATCAGAGTTCATAAAATACACTGTCAAGTTGCTTTCAAGAGTACACTAAGTCTTGGTGCGTAGTGCATCTACAAGCAATACAACACCCATTTCATCCTGCCGGCTTGTACACATGTTATGCACTTCATCCTTATGCATCCAGTTTATAGGAAAGGAGTGCATTTGATTGCTGTGCATCAATCCCGTGGCGCTTACTCTTGATTGGTTTAGTACTTAAGAAAGTCTGTGCCTGAGAATTGGCATGTACAGTGAAGTGCTCAGTGAAATCTGACCACTGCGTGTGTCAAGTTTGCGACCTGCACCGGTGCACATGCCAGTGTCCGCAACCCGCGAAAGGTCTAGGGGGGGGGGGGGGGGGGGGGGCTGCACAGCGCCCGGCGTGTACTTGACTCGCGTGATTGGATTTCATTGAGCGGCACTGCAGTAGACTGTAGCGTACGTTGTACTGACGTTTCACTGCAGTGTTCTGAACTTCTGATGTTGATATTGATCGTGTGATAATATCATTCCTTCATATGCTGTGTTCTTCAGAGCGTCTCAATGTCAAAGTGGTGACACCTGGCGCCACAGTGGGGTTGCTTTCTACTGAGCAGACCCAGGCTGTCAAGGACGCCCAGGAGAAGAACAGTCATTACCTGCACATTCCTCGCCGGTATGTAATGCCCATGTACAGTGCTGGCAACTGAAATTCGACCCCCTGAGCGGTGGGTTCACATTCTACCGGTCTTTGTTTTCGTAGTTTTACCATCCCGTGTTGGGCCTTTGCGATGTGAGCGCACCGCTCTGGGGGTCGGGTTTCAGTTGCCGGCACTGTACTTTGTGCTGGCATAGGGCCTGATCTGGGTGTATGTCAGGGAAACAAGAGTGTGTGAGATATCATTTGCCACTGCCATATTTTCCCGATGTCGACCATGGCAGGAAACTACCTGCTAAGTGCTGTACGTTTTAAAAGTTGAAAGGTGTGTACGTTTGTACCACTTCTCTCCGTACCTCATGTGCAGCTGACTTACAACAATTTCAGGCTTTCCAATAGCACTTCTGTATCTTCCCTTCCAGGCCGAGATGGGATGAGTCAACAACCGGCGAGCATCTGCAGTATATGGAACGCGAAGCTTTCCTGGAATGGCGACGCCAGCTGGCAAGGTGCGGCTTTAGTTTTTGTGTTGTATTTATGCTCGTGTTGGGCTTTGTGCCAGCCCTGTTGCCATGTTATGTTGCTTATGGTGCTTGTGGGTTGCTACTTTCGCTGGAGCAATGATGCCAGCTCTTGTCTGCTCTATACGTCTGTACCTTCAAAGTGTTTGTTCCTGTGGTCTTTCGGGGCTTCTATCGTCTCCTTGACCATGCGTTGCTTTTTCTTTCTCATTACCCGCTTATTACCACAGGCTAGAGGAGCAAGAGCATCTCACTCTCACGCCGTTCGAGCGAAATCTGGAATTTTGGCGGCAGCTATGGCGCGTCGTCGAGAGGAGTGATGTCGTTGTGCAGATCGTAGATGCTCGCAACCCGCTGCTGTTCCGCTCCGATGACCTCGTCAGTTATGTGAAAGAGTGCGGTGCCGGAAAGCAGAACTTCCTGCTGCTGAACAAGTCGGATTTACTCACTCAAGAGCAGAGGTAGGTGCAGTGCCCCTACAGTATATTACTAGTACTAACCTACCTCCAAGGGACGCGGAGAGTCAGCCAGGATACTCTATAGGCCGACTCATACTTCATTTCGCGTATGGGAAATGCGTCGCGTCGCGAAAAAGTTGATCTGAGCTCAACTATTTCACGTACGGGAAAGTCATCGCGCGATGGCTTTCCCGTACGCGACATGAAGTATGAATTGGCCTTATATCTCTGAGGTCAATCAACCTGGAATTGGAAAAACGTTCTTTATATCCAATGCCATGTGAAAGTGTGTTACATATCCAGGGTACCTGATACTGAAGTTCCACTGTATCACATTTCTAGGTGATGGTCCGCTTTGGATCATTAGTGGCGTATTCTTTGTTCAATATCTATAATCAGCTTGGGCATGTGTTTCATTGGTTTTTGCTTCCTGTGCTGGGTTTGGGCTCCAGTGTATCTGGTTTGACTTTTGTGCAGCAGATATCTAATATTATTATATTATGTCTTTGCTGCGTTTCGTACGATCCTTTCTGCCTTCAGAGACGCCTGGGCAGCCCACTTCCGTCAGGAGGGTATCGAGGCAGCGTTTTGGTCCGCATTGGATGAGACTGATCCGCCGAAGGAGGAGGAAGCTGAAGCGACAGGCGGCAAGACGCGTGCAGATGAATCAAGTGAAGAAGACGATTCCGAGAGCGATGGTGATGACGACGACGACACTGAGGAAGAGGCAGAAGACAACTCCGGCGTAAGTTTTGTTAATTGACATTGTGAAGTGTTGCAAGAGGATCTCTTAGCGTGAAGCTCTGAGTTGCAGCTATTCGTAAATAAGGAAGAGCCCCGTTGACTGCACACCCCTGCGTTTGTAGTGCTAAGGTTGCTCAGCTCTATACCCACTATATTCATAGGGTCGGACTTCCGTAGCCACAACCGTATTTACCGTGTGTGTGTGGGGGGGGGGGGGGGGGACGAGGAACGAAATGCCATGTGCTGCTATGTGTGTGGCTGCGACAACAGTTCAAGCGCTTGGCCATTTGTTGCCTATCTGCATCCCTAACGAACTGCAGATGTCGTTGTGTTGTCATGAACCCCAGGAGGCTCCAGACATGTCAGCACTTCGGCTGGCTACCTCTCCGTCTGGTAGCGAGAGCTCTGTTGGTACACCTCAACTGGCTACTTCCCCTCCTTCTAGCCAGGCAGCTGCCAGTGGACAGTCAAGCTGCACAGTGGCAGATGACGCTGAGGTGAACCGCCATGAGGTGTGTTCCCCTCCCCCGGCAGCAGCAGCAGCAGCAACGTCCTCCTCATCCGAACCAGACTGGAGAACTGGGCCGTTTAGAACTTCAGGTAGGGAAAGTTGATTCCAGAAATTCGAGGTCGTTTGTGCTTCTGTGCTATTCGGCTTCTCCTTGAAATAATGAAGCATGCAATGTTTGAATTTTGTTGAGAGTTTTGTAGATCACCATTGGTAACGTTAGCAATATCTTTGTTGAGGACACCTGTAGCGTTACTTGCATTTGTATTAGTGGAGAGTTAAAAACTCCTAAATGTCCATGTGCACGTGCCAGTGTATGTAGTTGTATCTACTATGGCGAACACGCTGGACAGAATGCAGCTTGCATGACATTACGTACAGGCAATACCTAGTTTCAGTGACCAGCACGCCTGGGACCGCCAGCATGTCATACTCTTTGGGACACAGATGGTCTTTGAAACCAGGATGACCGTTGATATATTCTACCCCTGGGTGCCAAAGAAAAGTTGCCGTAGTTCAGTGTCACCTGTAGTAGGAAATTAACAATGACCTTTGACATGTGTCTTGTTGCTGGACAGGGCGTTTGTTTTCTCGCTCCGAGCTCGTGGATCTTTTCAAAATGTTCCGTCTGAAAGGTAGGTCAAGCATTGCTTGCTAACTTGTACAATGTAGGTGTCTGGAGTGTGTTGTGTCTGTTGCGCTTGTTGGCACACGCTTGCTAGCTTTGTGGCATTAAGCGTGTTCCTCCTGAGTTGCTTCGCGGTTTCAGTGAGTAGAGTCAACGAAGCATTACTGTGCTTTGTTTTAACCTTTGCCTGTATGTTTCCGTGGGGAGGGGGCAGAGGATTTCTTGTATTGTCATGCACACCGTCAGCTACATGGGCTTGTCACGTTGACAAGGTTCTGTCGGAATGCTGACTTAGTGTACAGCAAGCATTTCATAAGATTACACATGGCCGAAAGTGAGTAGAACACTGATGTCATGGTGACTGGGAGTGTGACTCATTGACTGTATGAGTTAGTACGAGTATGAGTCGTACTGTCCTGGACATGGAAATCCGGTCAGAGGCCAAGCGGCCCAGGGTGCTGGCCATGCAGCCGCGAGTACGAATACGATCAACACGATTACACATGGCCGAAAGTGAGTAGAACACTGATGTCATGGTGACTGGGAGTGTGACTCATTGACTGTATGAGTTAGTACGAGTATGAGTCGTACTGTCCTGGACATGGAAATCCGGTCAGAGGCCAAGCGGCCCAGGGTGCTGGCCATGCAGCCGCGAGTACGAATGCGATCAACACGTGCACTGCATGCAACGTTCTGTACGCACCGAGGGTGCTGGCCCCTCGTTATTTGACCGGATTTCCATGTCCACAACAGTAGGTATAGCGGTGATGTAGTGATAACGGGGGAATGGGTAGAACGGTGACGACTTGTGGTGTGCAATCCCACATTTCTTCTTCTCTTGTGCGCTGTGCTGACAGGCAAGGATCGTGCCATTGTTGGACTGGTGGGTTACCCAAACGTAGGCAAGAGCTCCACAATCAACGCACTGCTCCAGTACAAGAAGGTGCCAGTGTCAGCCACACCGGGACGGACTAAGCACTTTCAGGTTAGTTCATCCACATGTTTCACAGTAGGGATGTAGTCATAGAAAAATAAAATAAGAATATCCAGCAGCTAGCTGAGAAGAACGGACCAAGACTGGAGGCCTGTATGCCGATTACTAGTGTTGAAACGAATAATCGAATATTCGAATAATTTAGAATATTCGTGGGGTGAACGAATAATCGAATAGTCGTAGGAATTATGAGAAATCGAAAAAAAAAAAAAAAATCTATGCTCAGTGCTGACCCTACTGATATTTGCACTGCGTAGATCTGCTCATAGTACTTCTTCTCAAACTCTTCTCCTCCAAGTTTTAATCTCCTATCGGCATCTAGTAATACTTCTGTTCTTTCCATACGAGGGAAACATGGATGCAGTGAATGTGATTTTCGGTCTTTGACCACTTTCGACCAAGACTCTATGCAGAGCTGTATCCGTCACTAGGTCCCAAATCTCTTTTTCTCTGGCCTTGCCTTCTGCCCACACTAAAGCTGGTTTTTCTCGTCTTGGCTACATAGGTTCTGATCGGTGGAATATGCTGCCTTCCACTGTTCGCTCTTGTACAGATTATCGCCCATTTGTTCGTTCATGCTTAACCTTTCTAGGGGCTCCCGTAAGAAGACCATAGGTCTGTGGGAAACACCCTAGTAAAATAAATAAAATAATAATAATAATAATAATCAGGCGTTGCACACTCTGGGGGGTTATGTACTCTTGGCGGTACAGGTTAACCGGTTTTGCACCTCCACATAACAAAATCCGATAATCAGCAAATTAAAAAAAAAACTACTTAAAAAGTGCTGAAAAGTGTTGAAAAATGCCATCATGTGTATGATAGAATATAGATTATTCGTTCGATGGAGGGCGAAATTATTCGATAGATTATTCGTTCGAAGAATCCGTGTTCGGTTTAAACACTACCGATTACGCTCTACTCAGTGACTATAGTGTAGTGACTCTGCAGCTGGTCTCTGTGGTCTCTGCTGGCACTAGCATATGTGTGCTGTTACTATGGCCTGGTCTTTTACGGGTTACTTTTCTATCTACTAGTAAATCTCTGGTTCACTGCTGCTTTGCCTGACTTTCAGACTCTGCTACTGGACGACGACCTGATGTTGTGCGATTGTCCCGGATTAGTTTTCCCTCAGTTCGTCTCCACCAAGGCAGAGATGGTGTGCAGCGGTATTCTGCCCATCGACCAGATGCGCGATCACGAAGGACCGATCAACTTCATATCCTTCTTGTGCTCTGGCCAGCTGCTGCTGCTGCTGCTGCTGCTGTATTGAGTATGTCAATGATGATTACAAATTTACAATGTAGTATTGGTGACAGAGAAAGGTGGTTCTGAGACTATGTTGTTGGATTGGCCTTGGCTTTGTAAGAGTTTGATGAAATGTGCATTACCTCATGAAGGCCAGGTTGATAGTTTGATTGGTTGTTCTTCTTTCCACTCTGTTGGCCACTGTTGTTGCAAGCTGCTTGTCCAGTGTTAGTGTGTGTGTGTCTGTGTCTGTGTGGTGGTGGTGGTGGTGGTGGTGGTGGTGAGTGTGGTGTGTGTGTGTGTGTGTGTGTGTGTGTGTGTGTGTGGTGGTGGTGGTGGTGGTGTGTGTGTGTGTGTTATTGTGTGTATATACTGGCCACGACATGATAGGGTGGCTCAGCGCCATGCTAGTACATTGTAGTGTTGAGTGTCATGTATACCTTACCATGACTGCGGGACTTGCCTGGCTGTGTTGAGTGTCATGTATACCTTACCTTGACTGCGTGACTTGCCTGGCTGTGTTGAGTGTCATGTATACCTTACCTTGACTGCGGGACTTGCCTGGCTGTGTTGAGTGTCATGTATACCTTACCTTGACTGCGGGACTTGCGTGGCTGTGTTGAGTGTTTCCTTGACTGCCTATTTCTCGGCTCACATTTGTCATAAGATACCTCGCTTCATCCTACAGAAACTGTACGGTATTATGCTTCCGAAGCCAGCCGAAGGGGAGGATCCCGACCGACCTCCACTGCCACTTGAAGTCCTCATGTCATACGGATGTAAGTGCGAATCATTTACCGGGTTGAAAGCTATGTAAGGTTTGTGAGTGTATGTGCAGGCTGGAGTGGGGTAGCGTAGTGTACATGTCTGTGTTTGTGGGTGCGTGTGCAGTGTTGATCGTGGAGTAGGATAGTGTAGTCTGCATATCATGTGTTCACACAAGTGATGAAACCCTTCACCTAAGCATACAATGTGTGTTCACTGCCATTGATTAAACGAGTACAAGATAAGCCGCTCATTTTACAGCTTTCAATGACAATGCAACCATTTGAGTAATAGAATGCATAGGTTATCCACGTTTTATATGTGTGTATGTTGTTGTTGCTGTTGTTGTTGTTGTTGACGCCTGCTAATTTCAGCACATGAAAGCACGCATGAGACTAGTGTTTTATTGATCAGCTAGCAGACTACAGTTCAGTTGTGTGCTTGTGCTTAGTGTTGGTTTTCAGATGAGATAGCCAGGCATGTGCTGCACATGCATGTGTGTGCATGTGCATGCATTTGCATGCCTGTGTGTGTGTGTGTGTGTGTGTTTGTGTGTGTGTGTGTGTGTGTGTGTGTGTGTGTGTGTGTGTGTGTGTGTGTGTGTGTGTGTGTGGTGGTGTCCTTTTTCTGCACCCTTGTCCTCCCCACTTACCGAGGTGTGGTGAGCCCATAAGTGGAATCATTTCCAAGTCCACGCAGAGTTTGGGGATTCGGGCGGTGTCGGCCGGTGCAATAGCCAATTGAGTCACCTTTCCAAGATTCCTTTTGAGTCTCTCTCCCAGAGAGACCCGCGTGACCAGTTTTGGCAATGAGCAAGTGCAAGCGTGTGCGTGTCTGTGTGTGGTATGTGCTGCTGCTGACTTGTACTTGTACTTGTAGAGTAGAGCTGCGTGTAGCCCGACTTTCAGTAGCAGTAGTGCTTGGTACATTCTGGGTATATTCTGGGCGCAGTATGGTGTTCTGCATCCGTGTGTGCTTTGGATCCTTTCCACTGTGTGTTTAGATGTGCGTGGCTTCATGACAACCAAGGGTGTACCCGACTGCCCACGTAGTGCTCGTATCATTCTCAAAGATTATGTGAAGGTATGGTGGGCGGGTAGACAGATGCTTAGCTGATCCGAACATTTTCTAGTCATAACCGTTAGGAATCTTCCTCACAATGAACAATGCACGAAGGTGTTTGGCCCTGCTGCTGCTGAATATTGTTACTCTGTTGACTTGGGTTAAAATCCATAATTCCTTGTCTCCTTGTAGACTTTTCGAATGCTATGTACTTTGTATGTGCGCTGAATTCAATTGGTTGTCTTGTGTGTATGTGTGTGTGTGTACGTGTACGTGCGTGTGTGTTTGGGTACGTAATAAACTGTCTCAGGGTCGACTGCTGTATTGCCATGCGCCTCCCGGTGTGGACGAGGCCACGTTTCAGTACCATCACCAGCACTTGGAGCGCCTGATCAAAGAGAAGGCAGCATCCGCCAAGCCCACCGCCGCCACTTCTGCTGCTCAAGCACGGATACCCAAGGCACTAAAGGTATGGTTGGTTTTGCTACGCTCATGAAGAAAAAGAATGGCAGTGTTGCGTGTCCTGCACACTATCTACTTCGAGTACACGGATGTTGTGTCGTTTATGATAGGCGATTGACACAACGGGAATGCGCACCTTCCCATGATTGCCATTCTCCGTGTAAACCAAGTCAATATACTCTAGTACAGGGAAACCTGTCTAAGACGACCGCTCTAGGGACTTTCAAAACGTGCTCTCTGTTGCCAGATGGTCTTCTTATCCAGGGTCGTTTGACTGGAAATAGCATCGCTTGGTCCGGATTGCAGTGGTCTTCTGGGACAGGTGGTCGCCTTGTCCGAGTGGTCCCCTTGACAGTACTTTACTGTACACTACAGTGCAGTACCATACAGGGGCGCTGAGCAGCAACTGGCACGTTTGTTTTGTCACTTTTTTGTGGCGTGCGAAATTGAGCAAAAAGCTGGGAGGCTCGTTGTGCATGATCCATAATATGCAACATGACATTGTGTACTTGACTCACACTATGATCGGATTTCATTCAGCTCTAGTTTCACTGTTTGAGTGGAACTATGGGTATGATCATTAAGTCCATGCATTGCCCATTGCACGTTTGACAATACGGCGCCGCTGCCGGTCGGCCACCGGTGGGTGGTGTGATTCATGCCTGCAGCAGTAGTACCAATGGCCTTACTCACCTGTGTTGTGTCGGTAGCATTGGTTGTGGAACTTTGTGAGTTTGTCAGTTGGTTATGTTCTTATCGCAAACATCGTCTTGCTCGGTCTCTTTGTTTTCGCAACTTGCTTGTGTTTGTTCGCAGATACTTCACACGAAGAACACGACTACTATTGACCAAGCATTCTTCGAAGAGGTAACTCAAGGCGTTTATAAGTCAAAGTCACATATTACGTTACTAGTACCGGGTGAAAGATGAAGTCTTGCTTGTATCCACTACCTGCATGCACCTTTTTATCTACAAACGCAGTACTATTATCATTCAATGCTGATCTGTAAATATTGCCACATTGCCTTTCTGCCGTATTCCACACAGAAACAACCACGTGCGATTAGTCGCGGGAAACATGGGCGGACGATTGAATTCACACGTGTGGACGGTTTCACAAAGCAAGTCGGCCTCGTTCAACCCGTCGGTGACGGTGCCGCCATCGGTGACCAGTTGGCTGGTTTGCCTGATGACCTGAGCGACACAGCGAGCATTGCCTCGTCGACTTCGTCCTACTACGTTGGTGGCAAGCCTTGGAAGAAACACCACAACCGCGGCAAGAAGGAGAAGACAAGGCGTCTTGTCAACAATGATTACTAATGGATGTTGACGGTGCATGCACTTTTCTACCCTTGACTCTTCTTCTCATCTCATGCAAGTACTGCTCTGCTCTGCTCTGGCTAATTTGCTTTCCAACCCCCGTTCTCCATGATGTGCTAACAGTTTACCAGCATCACTAGCATTACCATAACCATGCAAGCCAACATCGCAAATGTCATACATACTATTTTCAATAATAACACCTATGATGTGTCTCCAGATGTGCATGCACTGCGGGCATTGTGAAAGCCGAACAAGACGTCTGCGCATTGCTGTTCGCATTTCTTATGCTGTAAGTGTTGAGCTGCATCAGCTCTTTTCATGACTTTCGGGGTTTTATTAGCTGGAAATCAGTCCCGCTTGGACTTAACCTCCAAGGTTCGTTTATTCTTCAATGTGCCTGTACTTCTTCTGCGAATGATTCTGTGTGTGTGTGTGTGTGTGTGTGTGTGTGTGTGTGTGTGTGTGTGTGTGTGTGTGTGTGTGTATGCGTGTGTGTGTGTGTGTGCAGCTAGTTCGGCTGGTAGGTACACTTATGCCTGATTGTGTTGGGTCTGTTGCCAACAGGCTCGGCTACTTGAAGGTGTAATGTTGTACCTGCCACCTTTGTTGGTTCCAGGGTTCATAATACTTTCTATTTGAAGTATACATACCTGTTAACCATGGACTGCTTCTGGAATCAATGGTGCTACACCATTGTAGTGAAGCTTTTATCAGATCCACTCTGATTTTAAATAGCCACTCACTCTAGTAGCAAATATTACCTTCATTGGGGGCAGGGGTAACTGCAATTGGATCCCGGGACGGATACCTGATGCCGTCAATCCTTTTTCTGCACCTTGTCCTCACCCACTTACTGAGGTGTGGTGAGCCCATAAGTGGGATCATTTTCAAGTCCACCCAGAGTTTTGGGGATTTCAGGGGGTGTCGGCCGTTGGGCGGTTCAATAACCAATTGAGTCATCTTTCTAAGATTCCTTTTGAGTCTCTCTCCCCTCTCCCGGGGGGGGGGGGGGGGACTCACGTGACCAGTTTTGGCAGTGAGCAACAAGTACAGTACAGTGTGTGTGTGTGTGTGTGTGTGTGGGTGCATGTGCGTGTGTGTGTGTGTGGTGGTGGTGGTGGTGTGTGGTGTGTGCCTGACTGTGGGTACTTTACATGTAGTAGAAAGTAAAACGAATGAGAGGAAATCAGCGAACTGATAATGTAATCAGCAAAAATCAACTTGACTTCAAGTGCATACACTCCAGGGACCGCACATAGAATCGATGCCTAGAACATGCAGCAGGGGTTCAATGTTGCAAGCAAGCTGTTGATCGATGTGCAATGTACTTCTGATGTTGACGTATACAGTATATACAGCATGGAGGCATTGTCGGTATTGTTATATACAGATCACGCCGTACATGCACGCAGCTCAGCTTTTCAGGCAGGCAGTTATTTTTAAATTAATATCACAGATACTGGTACTTGTAGCACGAACACGACCTTCGAAAAGCACAGCGGTCTGCATTTCTCTGTTCTGCTATCTCCCTTTCCGGCACGGATGCATGATATGCATACCGTACTGCTGAAAGCCCTGTCTGCTTGCTCGGGTGCTGCTTGGGGTGCAGCCGATGGCAATTCAACACAAGTCCTGCTGCACGCACAGTCCACTCATGAGCAGGGAGTCGTAAATTTACGGTATTTTACGACTCGCTGCTCATGACTGACTACAGTTGACATCTCCGTCCTTCATGCCCTTCAGCAATCCCTTCACTTCCAGGAACACGGCCTGTTGCAGCTCAAGAACGGCCCTGGGTTTCTTGTAGGAGATGATGAGTGTGTTGTTGGCATGGGCGAACGAGATCGCCTCGTTCTCCGTCCAACACCCGAGTCGCTGCAGATCAGTTACTGTTATCCTCTTGAAGTATCTGTACGCGCGCGCATGCACACACACACACACACACACACACACACACACACACGCACACACAACAAAGTACAAGTCTAGTAGCCTGCAAATGCATTGCACATACAACAACGTAACTGTTACTTCGACAACGTGCGATAATTGCAGAACACAATTATTATTATTATTATTAATTTGAGGGATTCCCCAAAGGCCGAAGCCTAAATCAAGAGGGTCTCCGAGAATAAATATACGTGTACAATGCGTGTACAATAATTGGCAACGTCAGGGCTGAGGAGTGTGACGGTGTATTCTTTGTTTTGATATTATGGTACATGCAGGACACGGGCATTTTCATTCTGCATTGCACCGGCCCTATAGTGCACGCTGATTCAGGAGCTGGTGCCGAGCAAGACTTGTGCACAGAGCCGTAAATCCCAACACCTTTTAAGAAGGTAGGCCGGAGTGAGGTCAACACCTTTCAAGAAGGTAGGCCGGAGTGAGGTTAACACCTTTCAAGAAGGTAGGCCGGAGTGAGGTCAACACCTTTCAAGAAGGTAGGCCGGAGTGAGGTCAACACCTTTCAAGAAGGTAGGCCGGAGTGAGGTTAACACCTTTCAAGAAGGTAGGCCGGAGTGAGGTCAACACCTTTCAAGAAGGTAGGCCGGAGTGAGGTCAACACCTTTCAAGAAGGTAGGCCGGAGTGAGGTCAACACCTTTCAAGAAGGTAGGCCGGAGTGAGGTCAACACCTTTCAAGAAGGTAGGGCCGGAGTGAGGTCAACATCTTTCAAGAAGGTAGGCCGGAGTGAGGTCAACACCTTTCAAGAAGGTAGGCCGGAGTGAGGTCAACACCTTTCAAGAAGGTAGGCCGGAGTGAGGTCAACACCTTTCAAGAAGGTAGGCCGGAGTGAGGTCAACACCTTTCAAGAAGGCAGGCCGGAGTGAGGTCAACACCTTTCAAGAAGGTAGGCCGGAGTGAGGTCTGCACCAGTTGCTGATCAGCCAGTACATGCATGCACAGTGTTGCTCAATGAAATCTGTTAGCTTGAGTCAAGTACACGCTGGGGGGGGGGTGCAGCCCTAGACCTACGAACACAGGGCTGTGCACTGGCGCAGGGCCGGCAAACTTGACTCATGGAATCGCGAATTTCATTGCGCAGTACTGTACAATATGTACTTTGCTGCTCAATGAAATCTGATCGTGTGAATCAAGTTTGGGCCTTGCACCAGTTCGCATTCAGTGTTCGCAGTTCTAGGGCTGCATGCCCCCCCCCCCCCCCCGCGCGCGCGCGCGTGGCATTCACTCCCTTGATCAGATTTCATTGAGCAGAACAGCGAAGACACAATGCTAGTTCGTTGCAACTCTAAAGTTCAGCAGCACTGCGTGTATGTACAACACATGTACATGTACATGTACATGTAACCGTGGCTTACTTCTTATTCGAAGTGCGTATGACAAGCACAGCCTGTTCTGCTTCCGCTGTCACCGAATACACATCCGAAGGGTAGGGCAGGTTTCGTATCCGCCACTCAAATGACTTCAGCTTGTCACGGCGAGTGATGAACGGCTGTGCATTGTGGGTGAGTGGGTGCATTGTGGGTGAGTGTGTGCAATGTGGGTGAGTGCGTGCATTGTGCAAATTCCCGCAAAACAGGTACATGTCAGCTATGCAATACCGCGGGAGTGAGTATACGACATCATTGCTATGCAATACCAGGAGTGAGTATACGACATCATTGCTATGCAATACCAGGAGAGTGAGTATACGACATCATTGTACGACAAGAGTATTTTGTAATTAGCCTGTTGCATGCAAACGCTCCCAAGAGTTGCACATGTACTGATGTAGGCAAAAGACAAAAAGGGATCATGTGGACACAGGGTCAGAATTGTGCACCGCTATCCTCTAAACGCCAATCCCGCACACACGCACACACGCTTGCACCCACACATACACCCCCCCCCCCCCCCACACACACACACACGCACGCACACGCACACACACACACACACACACACACACACACACACACACACACACACACACACACAAACACTGGTAATCATGTTGCACATTGTTAACACTACACAACTACTCATGTAGATGTAATACATGTAGAGTAAACCTGTACTAGCGGGACGACCTCCCCTGTACTAGCGGGACGCCCTTGCCTTGGTGCAGCGGGAACTGTCCTGATATGACAGGATTCCGCTTGAACCAGGGACGCACGTTCGATCCACAGCACTTTGGTGCATGAAGATCTGTCCGGTCAATACAGGATTCCGTTTGGTACAGGGTCCGGCAAACAGAGGTTATACTGTAATAACTAAAATGAGCTCTTATTCATGCAGTCATGTCTTATAGATTCTAAGAAACCACCACAGAATCATCAGCTAGTGTGAACTATCAGTGAATGATGGTGGGAGTATTACCGTAGAACTGCTCTCCACAAGAAACTGGGAGGAAGACGAAGCCTGGGCCTTACGCGCACGTTCATACATCGACTCCTCGCCAACCTCCCACTCCCAGTTGCCTTCTCCGCCCAGGCGAGGACGGCTTTTCAGTTTACGCACTGCATGCACGCCAATGCCCAATGGTAACGCCGATGGCAATGGCAATGAGCAAACACAAACAAACAGAAGAGCAGCAGCAGCTGTGTGAGCAATACTATACAGGCGAGCAGTGCAGTGCCTGAAACTTCAGTAAATTATTTACAAATCACCCGGAATATAACATGCTCTTTACTTTGCATAGGATACAAAAGTAGTTTCTTGAAGACCCTACATATCCTGTTCCAGTCATATGACCTTGGATATACAGCACCCGCGGATGTACAGTATAGACTTTTGGTCCATTGGAGGTACATGTACATGTACATGTATCTCAAGCTTCACCACTGTTAGATGCCATTTACATGCCCTTTGAAATACTTCGGAATGCATCACTCAACAGAGAGGTTTCAGAGCAGGATTCCCTCGTCAGGGTATGCATCCTGCCTCTGCCGCTCTGGATCGCGTCGATATTAGCATGCAAGACAAGCTGTCAGGTCACTGTCTACAAGCGTCAGGCACTTAAAGTAGCCCTGTACAATCTAAAGAAGTACTGTCACGGACTTTGAAATCTGTTGAGAAGTCAAGCGGCCACGGGGTGCTGGCCTTGCAGCTGTGAGCAGTACTGGTCAATTGTTACAGCGTTAAAGTGAACTACAGTACATGTCCACGCTTAAAGCAGTAAGGGCGCCGGCCCCGGTCATCCCATCCGATTTCAATGTCCACGACAGTACTTTGTCACTCTTGAGTGTGGACCAGGGACCATGAAAAAGGTTTCCATGGTCCCTGGCCCTGGTGTGGACGTGCTCTCATGATCTGAGCTCCCCCTTTAAAAGCATGCCGCTGAATCTAGTTTAGACCGTATGTATCTATCTATCGGCATTTGGGCCTGGTTTAAATCAGGCTGGCCTTTGAAAATATATTTTTCATTGCGATCAGGTTCGGCCTCATTTCCTCTGTGCTGCGCTGATGAGTCCACAAAGGGCAAAACACTTCTGTCCGCAGATTGAGTATCTATCTATCTATCTATCCGTCCGTCCGTCTGTCTTTGTTTATCTCCCATATTGGTTGTAGCATTACACCTCAGCCGTGATGCTTGCACTACCATTATCCCAAGTATATTCCAGTGCTCCTATCGCGGTTGTAGCACTGCCTTAGCCTGCCGTGACGCCTGCACTACCATTACCCTATATAACAAGCGAATAGCAGATTAGGTTTCATCGTCTGATGACTCGATGTCACTATAACAATATTGGTCTCTGCTGTTCTGCCGTGTGTATCTATCTATCTATCTATCTGTATGTCCGTCCGTCCGTCCGTCCGTCCGTCCGCCCGTCCGTTCATCCGTCCGTCCATCCATCCATCCATCCATCCACCTATCTATCTATCTATCTATCTATCTATCTACCTCCTCGAAACACTGTTGATACTGCCAAGCACAGAGTATCAAGGCAAAAACAGCAGTGCATGTGTCGGCCACACCTAGTGGCAATGCAACAGGCAACAGAGGAACAATACTATCCTGTGTCATTTGCAATCACCAGTGACTTACCGAGTAGCTCCTGGGTCTTGGCGTCGTACCCCTCGGACATTTCCAAACCGTCCGCAAAGACAAAGTGAACTCGGATATGTCCTGCAGCATGGTATGCGGCAATACACCCAGGGTGCGTGTCAGTTTCAATCACGATGTGTATTGGGTATTTGGCCGAGTATAGTCCTATACATCTACTGGCTAAACCGGTTTGTACCACATAGGCCCTACCACAGCTCAGATCTTGTCTGACATTCCCTGCAACTGGAGCAGGCTCACAGGCATATACAGTCAACTTCGCTTATAACGACACTCGGCGGGGCAGCAGAAAAGTGTCCTTATTCGCGAAGTGTCGTTATACCCGAAGTCGCATTCTATGTATTACAGTTGGATGGGACTTTGCTCTGGGCATGGAAATTCTGTCGTTATTCGCGAATTGTCGTTATATCCGCAGTCGTTATTAGCGAAGTTGACTGTATCACTGCAATGCAGCAGAACTCATGTATGTGTACAATGCACAGTCGAACAGCCGAGCAGTCGAACTCATCCAGTACCTACACTCATATCTCTCTTATCCGTACCTCGGAGTTACGCTCACCTCGGTCTACCGGGAATCTGTGCGTGTGTGAGTTCTAGTGGAAATATTACTACTGCAGTTAGACCTCGCTTATCCGGTCCTCTTTTATCCGGATCCCTCGCCATCCGGAATAAAATCGTTGGTTAACCATTTACGGCATATGGCATGCATACATACAGTATGTGTGTTCGATTATCCGGTTCCCTCGCCTATCCGGATATTTTTGGGGGAAACGGATGTGTGCGGTTAAGCGAGGTCTGACTATATATTGCCAATTTTTGCAGAAATAGTGACTTCACATGCCAGATGTCTGGCCCTTCCCCATCAAAACGTACGTGATCATCAGGCCGGATACGGACATTTCCAAGTTATGGACACTTCAGCCCGGTCGCAGACCGCCAGGCGGATAAGAGAGATACGAGTGTACCAGTCTGATAAGACACTGACTGTTGCTCAGCACGGACATTGTCCACCGTACAGCGGGGTGTATTGACCAATGCCGCTGAAGTATCAGATGGGATAAGAAGCACAGTACCTCGGATACTAAGTACACAGTTTCCTGCCTCCATTGCATTGGGGTAGACGTCTTACCAGAGTTCAACTGTACAAGGTACAGTCTACTCTGATAAGTCGCGTACCCGATAGACTGTATACGTTTTGTTGGTTGACAGCATGCAACAAGGTGGAGGACCACCGTCACGGTTCGGAAAGTGACCTTTCTACAACCATCCACGGTTGGTAGAGCCCCAGTCTTGCGACCAGCTAGACCGTATGGGTGTTACTGCGGCCCCGGTTCTGACCCTCTGTATTCTAGGGAGTTGCCTTAGACTTCTTGTTGCTGTACCGTCAGTCATGTCACTCCTGGATGTCTTCTTGATACTCAGTCCTCATAAACTTAGTAGCTTTTGTTCTGAGTTGTTTGTCTTTTCTCTCTTTTTTATACTCCTTTTCTTTCTTTTTCCAACTTCTGCCCATGGCGTCCCTCTCTCAGCTCGTCAACTGACAAAAGTTACTGTCACCACTATGACACTGTCGCGAGAAGGTGCTCTCTGTAGACGAGGTTGGTGATGTTGCGACGCGGCCATAGCTAACACACGTACGGTTCAGATGGTCGCAAGACCGGGGCTCAGTCTACCTATCGATGGATGGTTGTAGAAAGGTAACTGTTTCCGAACACAGCGGTCCTCCACCTTGTTACATGCTGTCACCCGGTCGCGGGTACTGTTGCGGCTCAGTCATGAGCGATCACTTTGGCTGTTTGCAACACCAATCGCTTCACCAGTTGATCAGAACCAGCACACTGGTGTACCCCAATTATCCTTGTGCGGTGTTGTGAGAATACGTGGGTATGCATGCAGCTTTGCTCTGTGACTTTCCATTGCATGTAGTAGTAGTCACTTGGCTCTCCCATTTCCTATACACTGCTCTGATGCATTCGGGTGCAAGCGCTTAAACATGTTTTCAACAAAACAAGGTTTATCTACTTCGAAGTAATACTGTATACATTGTACAGGACTGGGTCCTGGTCACGGTTTTGTAACTGTTGTCCTTACCATCTTGCATCATGGCCGTCTTCCTTGCTTGCTTCACACTGGAAACCCAGGAGCTGGAAGCCAGTGAGCCGCCTGATGTATCCATTATGATCAAAATGGTGGCAATGTCTAGTCCTTGACGTGCTCGCTACCGTTGATAGCCTATTTCACTGGTTCCACTACAATACAGGTCATAAATGTGCAAGTAGCGGTCACAACTCACGCCGTCTCCATCTCGGTCTGTAGGTCGTGGCACAGCGATCTGCAATGGATTCTTTCTGCAGCACGACTTGTATTGAGCAGTCGTAGAGTCGTCCAATATTTTTGACAGAACGTTCCAAGATTGAATTGAAAGAAAACTGCTACCAGCGGCTACTGACATGTCAACAGTAGTACTACTGTTGTAGTCACCACTCCGTCCTAGCTAAGGTCAAGGACGTGACGCGTGTCACCATGGTCACTGTCGGCACGAGGGCCGGCTGGCGCCATGCATGATAGCAAGAGTACATAATAATTATAATTTATATTCTTGATGATAGCAGGAGTACATAATAATTATATTCTTGATGATAGCAAGAGTACATAATAATTATATTCTTGATGATAGCAGGAGTACATAACCCCACCCCAGGTTATGTACTCTTGATGTCAAAATAATGATGATAGCAAGATGTACTCTTGATGATAGTGATGGATGCGGACCCTACATCGTACATTACATAATCATTAGGCTACAACTAAGTTACTTACAAGTCACCAGGCCAGGGAGTCGTACTCCCTCACTCCTCAGTCCCTGGTCTACACTACACCGCGTAGCTACGTAGATCTACCATGTAATTGTTTTTTGTTTTGTTTTTTTACTATTGACACAGGCAGCCCTACTACTGGAAACAGGTGGAGAACAAAAGAAACGAGGAAAAGGACAACTGTTCCTACCAGTTCGACATAATAATTATCGTCAATGTTTTGCTGCTGTTGTGTTGAATCATTCACAAATAATTGGTTTTGAGTTGAGTTTGAGTTGATTTCCCTGATTACCACCAGACCTGGTCAAAACAATAATACCAATGTTGTATTGCTCAGTCGTGTGTTCAATTAATTATTCACATGTATTTTTGATTTGATTTCCTCGATCACTTTAGTTTGATGATATGCATGTTGACTTGCCGGTACAAGTGACTTCATGATGATTGTGACTTATGGTAGATCTGCCGCAAGTCACAATCATTGGATGTACAATAATGTCCACTGTTTTCATACCGTCACTGACCTACATGTATGATCGTGTACAGTCATGTACATCGTAGATCTCCGCATTACTGGACACAATACGTATTGCTATTATTAGTATTACTAGTCACAGCAAGAGTTGGTTGAGTAGATAGTTCCGGAATTATTTCCGTGTTCGATATTGTTTATTTTTTACATATTTTTATTTTATTTTATTCGTGTTCGATATTGAATTTTAATTTTAATTTATTTATTTCTTTACAAATATTGTTTTTATTCCATTTCACATTTTTCATTCGTGTTGGGTTTAACTACTCACTGTACTGATACATGGTGATGATTGTGCTTTGCCCGTAAAAGAGGCCTTCCCTGTCCCTACTCCCCTCCAGTTATTACACTCCTGCTACATGCGCTCCCTCAGGGGAGCTTTTGTAAATCAGCTCCCCGGCTGGGAGCTTATGCACTCTTGGTAATCGAACAGTTACTGTTTACCGTGTTTGCTGTGCCATGGCACTGTACTGTTACGTGGGGTGTGCGCAAGTACCGGTGATCAAGTGATGGCTGCAGTGAAACTACAGTCAGACTTCGCCTAACCGCACACATCCGTTTTCCACAAAAGATATCCGGATAGGCGAGGGAACCGGATAACCGAACACCGGTTATGTTGGATGCATAACGTATGTTGTAAATCTGTAACCAGCTATTTTCTTCCGGATGGCGAGGGATCCGGATAAAAGAGGACCTGATAAGCGAGGTCTGACTGTACCTACTGTCTTACTTCGGCATGATAACTGTGCACCTCCTCCAAGGTACATGTACATGTCGGAACCCGGCACATTGATCAGGGGCGTGCTCGGCCCCCCAACTAGGGGGGTGCACGGGAGCCGAGGGGAGCCCCCCCCCCCCGGCAATTTTAGAGCATATTTGCATACATTACAATTGCAATTACCCAGATTGAAAATTTTTGGGGGGGTGCACGTGCCCCCCGTGCCCATCGCCGAGCACGCACCTGTTGATTACGATTCTACAGCAGTGCTGCTCAATGAAATCCAGTCACGTCGTCACTGACGTTTGTGCCTCGCACCATTTCACAGCCCAGTGTTCGCAGGTCTAGGGCTGCGCAACGCCCGGCATGGCATACTTGAGTGATGCTGTGACTGGATTTCATTGAGCAGTACTGTAGTAGTACTTCAAGAAGTCACACTGAAACTTCTCATAAGTAGTCACTGAGGCCGATCGCATGAGCGGCAGATAACGTGTGCATTACTGGATTACAAGTTCAACACTATGACGCCATCATCATACACGGTCAGAACTTGCCAACCTAACATGATAACTAGTTACTTGAATAGAGCTGATGAACTGAATCTCAATTATAGCACAATGAATACTTGCCTTTTAAAAGTAAAATTCAGTATAACTCAACTCAACCTTTTTCAAGAAAACTCGGAAACTTAGAAAAGAGGAGAATGGTCTTGGACCGAAACTGCGCTGAATCTTCAGAGCAGTGAAGAACTTGGGAAAGTAATGGGCAGTCTAGGTTGACATTCGGCCATTAGCCCTATATAGCCTATGGCTGTCAGTCTCCAACTACCATGGAGTCGCACAGAACAAGTCGTTGATAGAGCGGAAAAGCCATCTAATACAATAATTATATGGCAAATGCTGCTGTCTGATGATCGCTGAAATGCGCCTTGCAACTTTAACAGCCTTTCGTCTCTGTTGTGTGTGTAATACAAATCAAAACGTTACTAGCAAGCAAGTCAGATAACGGAGAGCTGTTGAAAAGCACGCATAGCACATGGGGGAGTGAAGATATAACACTGCATGCGTGGGTTAATACAGTACAAGTAGATCACGTACTTGAATGTTTGTTGTACTGTGTTGTACTGTGCTGTACTGTGCTGGACTGTGTATGCTAGGTACTCAGTAGGCACATATCAACGATTGCACATTGATGGGTTGAAAGAGGGCTTGGCAGTACAGCCCGGGAGGGTTGTGTTGTTGTTGTTCTCCTCGTCCGATAACTCACCAGTTTGCCGGACAGGTCGATCATGGCAGTAGATGGGATTAGGTGAGTCGAGCGGCACGCACGCCGTCAACACTGTGTGTGTTACCGGTACGCGGCGGTGTAGTGCCGCTGCTGACCTACCAAGCTGATGCCGCCGTCGAGATATCATCAGACTATCGGCCGCACACAGCTAGGAGTGGGTCATGATGAGGAGACGCGTGCAGTTGGGTCCAATGTGTACTCGTTCTCTGTGATCACTGCAGAGGGCTCCGCATGATCAGGCTGCATGGCAATCAGAGGCTCTTCATCATCCTACATCCATACAGGCACGAAGAACACAAGGCAGCATTTAACTAATATTCATAACTATTGTAGTCAACGTAGTTAGGGCACATATCGTAATGCCATGTGCAAGCAGTCAAGTACTGCACCTAAACAATCACTGCGGGAGGACAAAGCACATACCGTTATGCTTCCTAACTAACTGTATTATAGTGTTAGAATCAATTGATGAGGTTTGGCAGGTTGGATTTTGCGTTCAAGGGCGCACTCCAATGAAAGTCAAACCCAGTGAATTCTTATAGTGGTAAGGATCAGCGAATAGAATTCGCGCTTGCATGACATTGACAGGTCGTTTATTCCGCCTGCTTTTCCGAACAAAAATGCCAAAAAAAGTTCGCATTCCAGTTCGGGAACCAAAAAGTGTTTGTGAACTCGAAGGCAAAATTCGTGATGCTTTACCTCCATATCATAATTGCTGTGAGCAGGCAGGCATAGTGGGATGGCCTGAGACCATGATTGAGAAACGGAGGGTACATGTACCAGATTCAAGTCCTGGTAGGAAGCAAACGGATTTTCCAGCCGTGCCGCGACCCACAGTTGACTGGGAACTCCGGAGATGCGGGAAACTCGGGCTAACTGAATCGCACGCGAACCGTGACATTAATTGCTGTGTCCGATTTGACCATCACTTCAATGCCAACTATTGTCCCAGAACTACATGTATGTCGAAGGTGCTGTACTGCATGGCAAGTTCAGATGCCAGCTGCTTTCCGGATCGATCATACCCATTTCACTGCACAAAGTTCTTTACTCCATAAACTAACATCTTCCGTTCTGCTCATGTAACTAGACCCATACACCATACTCAGCCATTTTTAATTGCTAAACAAGACCTCACGACATGCTTAACTTGCTTCCCCACCACAAAATATTACTCTTTTCGTATATCTGCCCAATTTCCGAATCCGCTGAAAAATTTCCTCACAAGATTATTTCAAACCTGCAAAATGCGTACCAGCATTATCATTGGAGTCCGGTTGCTTCCGAGTAGCCCCGATCTGGCATTCAAATAGAAGAAAACATCGGAAAAGGCCCATGAGCACGTGACCTTGCATAATTGCGTGGCAATTTGGCTTGCCATGGTCTATTGTCAATTCAAAGGACTTGGGAGCTGATCGCATTGTAGCAACTACTGTTGCAGCAAGTTCAGAGACAAACTTTGGGGAGTGCTACAGTGGGAGCGATTTCACCAGCATTCAGCAAGCCCAAGCGTATTCATGTGACTATATAGCCCTCACCTTTGACCTCTTCTGTTCTTGTAGCAAAGGAACCATGCAACTGCCGCCGCTATGCACAATGCACTGGCCGCTGCAAGTAGCGCGATGGCGCCTGGTGAAAGACCACCTCGTCCACTGTCGTCAACGGTAGTGCCTTTCAGTCCAGGTCAGAATAAATTGAACAATACAAACAAAAGTGCACAATGACAGCATCATATAGGACCAAGACATAACCCACCTGTGTCTCTACTAAGTAAGGGACTAGCAAGGCATGGCAATATGCTGTACTGCTTTCAAGTAAGTACATGCAGCACCATGCATGTTGAATGCTGCCATTAAAACAATAGCGTTGCGATACATGTACATGCTTGCGCTAGTTTCCATGCAGAATGTAAACGGAATCAGTGCAAACCCTGATACATGTATCAGTGCAAACCCTGATACATGTAGCATAACTGGGGAGGGGAGGGGGGGGGCACCATTGACGATGGACCCACTATTAAGGAAAACTGTTCTACATGTATTTCACTGTATATTAGAAGGATGGAGGTATAGATGGAGTCCGGGACTTGAACTTCGGAAGGATACTATTAACACTGGGCATGGTGACCATGCCGGTGATCTGTGACGTACCACTTGAATTTGCAGAGCTGCTGACATCAGGTGTGCCGGCCATGCTTGCTGCAGTGCTGACTGTGAGTGCGGCTGGCACTGAAGTCGAGTCACTTCGTCTTGCTACCAGGCGTGTTGTTGGCCGTGCCTCTGTTAACTGCTTGGATGTGCTCGGGGAGAGTGCCTTTGGCGGTGGCTGTGCTGTTGCTGAAGTTACTGGTAATGCTCTTTCTGCACAATCAACATCAGCACAGCACAATGCACGATCAATTTTGGGTGTGTAGATCAAGTTCGCAATGGAGTGCATTGGAAAGCTTGCATGCAGTACTGAGGACTTGATCATGAATACGCGAGTACACATGATCAGGACTGTTATTATCACGCAGCGGTATCAACTGACGACAATGACTCACCCAGGGCACAGCTTCCCATGATTGATACATTGCCTGCATCGGTTACAAGCGTCACCCGGACGTAATACCGACGTTGGTCTTCGGACGCAGCCATACTTAGCTCCGCAGTTCTGCTTTCCGAGGGTAGTACCAGTTCTAACGCATCTCCTTCTGCGACCATTGCCATTTCTGCCAACCCTGATGTGTTGTGAGACACCAGAACAATGATGTGCAGTCGATGTGCTGGCTGTGTATTCCATATCGGTTCCTGCATGACAACGGTGAGCGAAACATACATGTACATGTATTTCAAATCATAGAGGTGGGGGTCAGGAGGTGGGGATGGAGTGGGGTGGGGGTAGGGTGGGGTGGGGGTGGGGATAGGGGTAGGGGTGGGGATAGGGGTAGGGGTGGGGATAGGGGTGGGGATGGAGGTAGGGGTGGGGTGGGGATAGGGGTAGGGGGATTGAGGTAGGGGTGGGGATGGAGGTAGGGGTGGGGATGGCCCGGCCTGAGGTAGGGGTGATGGTGGGGATGGAGGTACGGGTGGGGATGGAGGTAGAGAGGATAGAATCAAGTCGCGCTTTAAAAAAGAGGAAGTAGTACCATCAGAACAAGACGGATAGATCTGATCATTCACAAATATCCAGGAGGATGCAAACATACCAAGTGTGGGAGAGAAACTAAAACCGGTAGCATTAGTGATAGCGAACTGTGCTTACTGTCCATGAGATGTTGATGTGACCGGCATGGCCATCCTGAGTGCACGTAACACTTCCATTTCCCCAGGCCGGCAATGCTGGATAACACAGGATTGCAGAGAGCACATTACCGAGATTCCTAGAATTCCGAATTTCTGTGGCTTGGTACATAGCAGGTCATCCAGGACAAAATTTAATATGCCGGTTCAGTCAGGCTCCCAATGATTTCCTTTACTAAAGAAGTGCGGTTGAGTTGCAGTTTTTAAATGAAAAACGGTGCAGCGTACTCTGCATAACTCTTCCATGGGCTGTTGAGTGCATGTACAGGGTCACGGTCATGTACTACGAGGTGAATTGCTATTTCTGGACATTGTACATTTCTGGACATTTCGAGTAAAATAATTTTTCGTCGCGTGTAGAGTCAAGTCAGTCAGGTTGATGAAGTTTTTTCTTGCCGTAGTTGACAGCTGGGCTGTTGTAATTTCTCCTCGTGTCGGTGCCTTGTTGATAGCCTTTGCTTGTGCGGCATTTCAACGGGTTTTGTTGTACTATGTCGCATGAGAATTTTGAATTTTGAGTAAAATAAGAAGTATTTAAATGGACGAATCGTTGGCTTCCCAATGTGCACTCCACTTCAGACGCTGTATAGCCTTGGACCTGTTGGCTGGAAGTGTGAAGAGGCCAACTGCAGTCCATCAATAGAAAAAATAACCAAAATGGTGCAGTATAGGATGCCTATTGACGCTATTTTACTTTCATGTCCAGAATTCCATACAATGAAATTTAGGCCGAAAAATTCACCCGTCGAAAACGTCCTGCTATAAAGTCTCTGGGATCACAGCATGAGCAATTGTGACATATTTGGAAAGATGAAGGATTAGACCATACAATAGATACAAAAAGATATGAAAAATGTGAAACACACAGCCAGTGGGGCTCTATTTTATTTTCATGTCCAGAAATTGCTATTCACCTCGTACTTTGTGCTGCTTTGTGCTGCTTTGTGCTGCTTACTCAATGAATCCGAGCCATGGATAAAATATGTTCGGACTCATTTCCTCTGTGCTGCGCTGACGAGTCACAAAGGACGAAATAGTTCTGTCCGCAGATTGAGTAAATATTATGGTATGTTATGCACTGCAAGGCTGATCTCACACACACATACACAAATCAATACTCAATCTGCGGACAGCATGCTGTGAGTTTGTCACGGAACTCATCAGCGCAGCACAGAGAAATCAAATCAATACGGTCATACATAATCGATACCCCCCCCCCCCCCCCCACACACACACAACACGCTGACCTGTATGCTTACCAAGATCGTGCGTGACCACCACCAGCGTATTGCTCGGCGTGCCCATGCTATGAGCATAGAACGCGGTGACATTCACACTGTACAGCGTACTGGCCGACAGTGCAGCTAGAGTTGCCGTGTTGCGGTCTGCACCCGGCAACCAGATGCACTCACTGCGGCACGTAATGCAACCATGCAGCCCTGCCAGGCTCTCCTGTTGCTGGCGGGTAGGGCTTGAAACCTCCCGGCAGCACACCACATAGCCGGTGTTCTCATCCTCCTGGAGCAGAGGAAGGGCAGGTGTCCACTGGAGATCAATTGACCATGCTGTAACACTGGTCAAGGTGAGGCGAGGCTGTGTTGGTGCTGTGTCCGAGGCAGGTACAGAAACAGAATATCAGGTTGTTGACTTTTAAACGCGGTGTATCATGTGGAGGTTTTTAGTTGTGGGTGGTCACACGCAAACAGACATCCATGGCTGCCAACATAAAACACATGCGCACATGCGCGCGCGCTCGCACACACACATACACACACACATACACACACACACACGCATACACACGCGCGCACACACACACACACACACACACACAAAACGCACGCGCACACACACACACACACACACACACACACACACACACGCACCCCCCCCCCCCCCCCCCCACACACACACAAACACAAGGTACTCTACCTCTTGACAATGTGGTGGTAACGCTGCCAAAATGGCACCGGCCGGTTGTTCGCTCAACGCCATCAGCTGTTGTGACGACTTCCCATATCACATGGTATGTGGTATTGCATATGGTGTTTGCCATGTCTAGGTTGTAGTTGAGATTCAGTGCAGGCTTCAGCAGGCTCTTCAGTGTACTCTGTTCAGGAGAGCAGAGTCCCATCCAAAGAAGTCAATACATGACTGCAAGAGATCTACATGTATGTAGACGACTCTCTACTCTCTAGTACATTCGATGCATCTGATAACACGTGTACTTTATACTATACTTGAGTACATGCCCCCCCCCCCCCCCTCCTTCCCCTCACACATGCACACAACTACGTGTGTATCACGTACATTAAATGACCTAGCCTCATAGCTGTCAAAAATAGACATTTATAGTTTTATACCCGTAATGTCGCGTGCCAAAGCCGGGCTTTTTCCTGTTCATGTAGAAGCCGATGTCATGAAGGGCTAGTCTTCTATTCACATTGGGCTTCTATTCAAACCAGGCATTTCTACGGATGTCAACACTAAAACCAGGCATATTTGCCGACCGTGTATCTTGAAAGTCAAGCCAGTGTATTCAAAACAGGCGGGTTTAAGCCCACAGCTTACCTCGTTGCCGGTATTAGAGCTGTACAAATAGATGCGCACAGAGACCTGATCTCTCCTGACCATAGCCATGTAGTCGGGACCAAGCATGAAGTTCACCCGGACGCCGCACCCGGGCTGTGGATGGACAGATCTTTGTATTTGGCAACCTTCTGGAGCTAAAGTGAGACACAATGCCACAGATACAGTTTAACCTTACACAAGGTAGCTACTTCAAAGTAGATGTGTGTGTGTGGGGGGGGGGGGCAATGATTTCTGCAATAAATATAATAATTATTGTAACTACTTGAAGTACACACAACAGAACAACAAGGACAATCGAGGCTTGTTTGCTGCTACTTTAAGTTTCATGCTCACGCAATCATCAGGCAACAGGAAGATCGGGTGCCAACCATGCCGGTATATATGCCAGGAGAGGGTGGTATAAAAAGCCGTGTGAGACTGTGGGGGCTAGCGCGGTAGCGGTGGTGTTTTAGGCAGGGGCTGTGTGCAGAGTGTGTGGTGGTTGAAGGCAGGGGCTAGCAGTGCAGTGTTAGCGCGGAGTGTGTGTTGAAGTAGATGTAGTCTGAGCCCTTGATCAGCGTAATGAGTTTCTGTGGAGCAGGGCGAAGGCATAGCAATTTGTGGTAATTTAGGAAAAGGCGAAAAAGGTTCTTGTTCTCTCCTGCAAAACACCATCCTGAGATAGTCAAGCAAACCTGCTATGGATGCAAGCAAACCTTCCATGGATGCCAAGCAAACCTGCCATGGATGCCAATTATTGTAAATGCTCAGAGTGTAGGACTTGCACATGTATTTGCATTGCACGTACACCTTCAGTTGAATACCTACAACGAACAGCGAGCGGTGGTATTACCGCTCTGGAGGCTTTGTTTTCGTGATTATTCTCCTTTCCATCAAAGTAGCATGTAAAGCCGGACTGGTGATTAGTCTAGGCTATGGCACGTATTGCTAGTGTGTTTAACCCGGCAGCGGCTTATCCGCTCACAGCACTGTGTGACTAGCTACTTTCAACTGGCAGCGGCATGCCCTCGTCCCACCTACCATTGACACCGTTGAGAAAGAAGCCAGGCGAGGCGACGCTGCTCCGATGCGCCCCCTGCTGGCTGATGACCTGTATGTGGTATCCCTGATCTCCGCTGGTCATGTTGCTTGCCTGACACCAGTAGCGCTGAATATGCACACAGTTCTGTATTAGGTACGGACCGCAGCATGGCGCCACTACCAGCTGGTAGAACTGCACTGTGAACGTGACCGGGGGCACGGCGGCGGATGCGGATGAGACAGTGCCACCGCCGCTGCTGCTGTTGCCGTATTCCCACGTGACGTTGAAGCCGTGTAACTGGTTATGGTACACGCGTAGGTTGTGGAGCTGCGGTGCTTCTGGTGCATTGCTGCTGGAGCTGCTCTGCTCCTTAGTTCCAACTGATGCTGCAGTGACAGCTGTAATATTATAGCAAACAGCGGAAGCAAAGGTAATTATTATCATGGAATCCATTCTCGTCGACGTGTGCATACATCATGATAATAACAACCACAAGGCTTCTCTTATCTACTTGGAAAAAATGTGCATGCGACTTGTAGGTGCATGTGTGTGTGTGTATGTGTGTATGTATGTGTATGTGCATGTGTGTGTGTGTGTGTATGTGTGTATGTATGTGTATGTGCATGTGTATGTGTGTGTGTGTGTATGTGTGTATGTGTGTGTGTGTGTGTGTATGTACATGTCACTCTGGACAGGACATGCACAGTCAACCTCATGAATAACGACCTCGGGCAAAACAACAACTCCTGAATAAGGACACAATCATCAGACCGTGTGACCGGTTCACTAGATACTTTAAACTCCACAAATAATGAAAACTCACGAATAATGAAAACTCACGAATAATGAAAACTCACGAATAATGAAAACTCACGAATAATGAAAACTCACGAATAATGAAAACTCGCGAATAATGAAAACTTGCGAATAATGAAAACTCACGAATAATGAAAACTCACGAATAATGAAAACTCACGAATAATGAAAACTCGCGAATAATGAAAACTCACGAATAATGAAAACTCACGAATAATGAAAACTCGCGAATAATGAAAACTTGCGAATAATGAAAACTTGCGAATAATGAAAACTCACGAATAATGAAAACTTGCGAATAACGACCCGCTTTTCTCATGCACGCTTTTCTCATGCACGATCAAGTCAAGGGTCGTTATTCGCACGCAAAGTGGACTGTACTTGTATGTTCATGTGCTAGCATTGTGTATGTGCATGTGTATGTACTACGTATTATGTATGTGCATGTGTATGTGTACTTCAGTATGAGTACTTAGCTAGAGGCCATGGCAGGTGCCAAGCCAGAGGGCAAGTTATGTTAGTACACACACTGGTGATTATTAATTCCAGCAGCAAATAGTCTGAGTGGATTCCCATAGCCTGGTATCAGTACACCACGGTACACGGTATTCACCAGAAGAGAATAATTATGATGTGATCCGCTACATGACCTTGCCACTCAGGATTGTGAGCTGCTAACTCTGAGCTGCAGGCTCACTCTGCAAAGTGAGCACTTCACCACACTTCCCAGGAACAAAACTCAAAACCCTTTGGGAGATGTGATAATTTCATTACCGTAATTTCGGTACACAATCACAGACACGTGGGGCTGAACTCAGCTTGGTTGGTGGGACAGACCAGAGTGGGACAGGCAGAGGTGTTTGAAGAATCATGCAGGCTTTTAAACTTTTTTGAAAATGTTTATACATTTACTTCAATGCTTCGTGGCGTATAACCCGGTACAACCAGTACAAGGAAATACCGTATGTTACCGGTTAAAAGTACCCTCCCCCCCACCCCCCACCCCCCACCCCACCCGCAATGCGTGGGGCCTCTATTTACCGGTTCAATATCAATATCAGCAGACCAGTCGGCGTCAATATAAGCCCTGGTTGTCAATCGACTACCACTTTTTTTATTCAGCTTTGGGCCGTAAAAGGTCAACTTATAACCGAAAACACAGTACTGCAGTGAGTAGCCGCTTTGCAAGTCGACTTAGAAGTCAGGATGTCGCATGCTGGTGAGATTGGTCAACAGGCAAAGAGATGTTTGCCCATGAAATAGGAACTTGACCAAGTGCTTCAGAGTTATGTAGTACTAACTGTTAGTAACTTACTTGTCTTGACAACTGAGCTGAATTAGCTGAATTAGCAGTGTCTGGAGTATGTCTCAAGCTCAGGCTGAAGGACTGAAGGGGCTGCCGCAGAGCACTTGATACCAATCCAGCCATGAAAGGAAAGAATGCACTTCATCCATCCCCCCCCCCCCCCCCCTCCTTTGCCTCTTCCCGTTCACCCTCCTCCGTCCCTCCTTCCTCACTGCCCCCCCCCCTCCGTCGGCGTCTTCTTTCCTCCCTGCCCCCCCCCCTCCCACCACCTTTTCCTCTTCCCATTCACCCTCCTCTTTCCCTCTTTCCTCACTGCCCCCCTCCGTCGGCGTCTTCCTTCCTCCCTGCGCCCCCCCCCCCCTTCCGACCACTACATTTGCCTCTAACCATTCATCCTACTCCTGTTGTCCTTCCTCATCTATCCCTCTCCACCACTGCACTGGTCCCAATGGTTCTATGACAAAGGGGGGGGGGGGGGTCTTCAGCTGTGTGTGACCTGGTGATTAGTCGGTTCAAAACGCAAATCCACCAGCTGTAGTCCAGTGCATGTGTAATAGTATAATTCTGTCACGCCTGAAGGTCAAGGAAGGTAAGATTGAGGGTTGCAACACACACACACACACACACACACACACACACACACACACACACACACACACACACACACACACACACACAGTTGCAGGTGATGGCTAACTACTTGTACTTGCCAGGGAACATACATGCAACACAGATCTAGCACTGACCTTGTATTGACCTGGCTGCATGTGCGTCGTCGCCATTGCTCGTTGCTACCAGTAGCAGCATGATCAGTACCTTGCCACAAACCCTTAGACAGTATAGTAGTTTTGAGAGGACCAAGACTGCTGCACATGTGTTCATAGAGCTGCGAGCATGTTGCTGCATGCTAGAGACGCCTGCATAACGCGCGTGTGATCAGGCCAGTCAGGGGGCTGGCTGACTTAGTGCTAGCGTAGTCCGGCCTCCACCGTTTCGCTGTGTGCCGAAGGGAGGGCTTTCGGACCACAAACTATCTCATCCGCTCTCGAACTATCACCATCTTGTACAATCTCTAGCTTCCTCTTCTGACAGTGACAGACCAACGGAAGAAGGAGCCCAAACTACACCATTCGCCAACCTTTGCTTTTGGATGCAGGGAGATTTCCGGGTGAATGTTCCTGCAAGAACACAACTTCGCAACTCTGCTCCTCGGGTTGGGTAAATGCCTGAAGTGTGCGTTCACGTTATGAGCCGAGTAGTAGGAATGGTGTAATCATGGCTCTGGCCCTGGCAACTGTGACATCGACCAATGCCTACTAGTCGACTCGTAATTACATCCGAGTTGCGTCCAGGGGGCCATGCGCTTAGTCTCAATTATCCGTCCATCAATACTGGCGTGATCCTGAGTCTTTGACGCCGACTCAGTCGCTGCGGACTGAGTTTCCCAGCAATGACTGATGTTTATACACGACGGCATTACCCGACCCACGCGCGATGGTCTCAGCGAGGACAAAGCTAGAGCACCGATCCGCGGATTTGGGAATCCGGCACGAAAAGAAGCGGTGGGACTAACTAAAATACTCACTTTCGTGTTCGTCATCGGCATACATTCATGTATGTCCATCTGCCTAAGCTGATGAGTGAGCAGGGCTAGTGGTAGGTCGACTGGTATGTTTGCCGATGCTGCGGACGTGATAAGATCCCACTGCATAAGAACAACTCGCTACTCACACGCTGCGCTTCTTGAGTAATCATGGTCTGAAAAGTAGAACTACTCGCCGCACCTCTCGAGTCTTGACCACCGTCAGGTAGCTTTCTCCTGAATTTAGCACTTGAGTTTTGATCAGAGTCTGGCGCAGAAACCGAAGAGCCAGTTTAGTAGCGGTGTGTCCGCACTTTTATTTCCGCTGAACTTTACTTCGGGCTGTAATACTTGAACATTTCTCGCCGTCTGTCGCCGTGTCAGTGTGACCCTGGCCACATGTGCTAGTAGTAGTAGTAGTAGTAGTAGTAGTAGTAGTAGTACATGTACTACAAAGAGTAGTGGGGAGCGTCAAATGAACCACAAAGGCACAATCCACAATCATGACGATTGTGCAGCATCGAGGTACTGTACATCATACTACATTATGCAGCGTCCAGTATGGTCTGCGACTGAGGGTTTGTTCAACTGAAAGGTCCAGGTCAGGACCAGAGGAGTTGTAGCGTTGTCAACTACTGCACTAGTAGTAGCAGAGCAACAGGACCAAACAAAACAACAGTGCCTGGGAGAATCACCTGCCTAGCATTCCAGAAACACGTGATTGGTGAATGCTGGCATTGGGCAACGCCCCTGCAATCTCTATCTGATACATGTACAATGTATAGTCTGATGGAAGCGATGCAATGTTCCATCAGGAACAAAGATTGATAACGTTATACGTCCGGTACACCGGTTTACAGAATGTATCACCTAGCCACAGGGGATGTGTCTCGAGATTGTAGCTACAATGTAGCCGCTGGTGATGTTATCATGGTTATTACACCATACCAGTGAGGAATTATTTTTAAAGAACCCACAAAGGTACAGTACAGTACAGTACAGTATTGTATTACTTGTACATACCCACAGTGTTCATGTAAGTACAGCAGGAAATATTTAAGTTGCCAGAATGCCTCCATCCACAGCACGAGAAGGGCCTTATATATTTCCACTCACAACTGGAGCAAACGGCATTGATCAAGAAATGAAATTGCTACGCACTTTGGGCAGTATGAAGCTCTGCAGCCGCGAAACCAGACCTAGTAATCAGCCAGCGGAGTAAAATAAATGCGATCCTGCATACTCTTGCCATAAGTACAAGTCATGTAAAGAAGAGGTTGGTGCGACTTCCGCGCTAGTAGGGGAAGAGTGTGTTGCTCCCTACATGTAATGGGAGCTCGCGGTTTTCCTGCCGACTTGAATTCTCACTTGACTGACTCGCGGCCATCCAGAGCACACGAGAAGTCCATCGAACCGTCCACTCGGCAAACCTGCAGGAAAGCACCACTCCCTGCTCAATACACAGTGTTTCGGGGAATTCACCCCTCATCAGTTGAACTTGAGTTGGCTGAGGAAGATTGTGCCTGAAGAGCACCACTTATAAGTATAGTGCTCTCCAGGCACAAACATCACCAGAGATACAAACTTACAGAGACGCTCCGTTTCCAGCGCGACAAACACCTCGTGAACACCAGATAGCAGAGCACTACATGTATATAAGTGGTGCTCTTCAGGCACAATCTTCCTCAGCCAACTCAAGTTCAACTGACGAGGGGTGAATTCCCCGAAACACTGTGTATTGAGCAGGGAGTGGTGCTTTCTTGCAGGTTTGCCGAGTGGACGGTTCGATGGACTTCTCGTGTGCTGGATGGCAGTCGTGAGCCAGTCAAGCGAGAATTCAAGTCGGCAGGAAAACCGCGAGCTCCCATGTAGGGAGCAACACACTCTTCCCATAAGTACAATGTACATGTAACAGTAAAAGCTAGGTAACACCAATGGCGATGTCAATGATGGTGGCGTGCTAGAGCCTGATATGGCATGATGGATGATGACCCGGTGCTGTATTCAGTCCATGTACATGTACATGTAATGGTGTTGCTGAGCTGAGAAGGAGAGGGCTAGCCTAGGTCCGGGGCTGGTGAGCGTTGCAAGCTGCTTATTAGCAGGCATATGTACAATGACTTATGTACAATAACATGATTGTAATTCGAAGCTTGAGGGGAAATGGAAAGAAGCAGGCGGGCCTGCGGCTGGCTGCAAATATCACCCGCTGGCAGCTGCAGTCTTGGGATGAGGTGCATGGCTAGTTAGAAACACTACGATGTCATGAGTAGATATACAGGACTACTCAAGTCAAGGCTGTGTCCTTGACGCTCTCTCCATTTCTCTCTCTCTTTTTCCCTCTCCCCCCCCCCCCCCCCACACACTCTCTCTCTCACTCTCTTTTCTCTCTCTCTCTCTCTCTCTCTCTCTCTCTCTCTCTCTCTCTCTCTCTCTCTCTCTCTCTCTCTCTCTCTCTCTCTCTCAATCTCTCTTTTTTCTCTCTCTCTCACACACACACACACACACACACACACACACACACACACATACACACACACACACACACACACACACACACACATACACACACAACCCCGCCCCGCGAACTGGGAGTGGTCGATTTACTTCGGAACCCGGGATCAACGCTCGAGAAAGCTCTCTCCTCTCAATGTGTTCACAGCAAATGATAGGAGCTAATACTCATAGGGGAAATATTAGAAATTAAACAAGAAGATCCCTTTTTCTCCTTCTAGACTTACTTCCTCTACACTCCAGTATAAGAAGATATAGCTTAGCCATGTCTTTTTTGCCACCATGGATCACGCAACATTCCAAGTGTTACCGTGGCAGCATAACAGATGCTATCATAACGTAAGCACTGGATCAACAGTGTACCACTAATGGCAATGTTTCCTCTTGTCAGTGAGTACCACGTGTGTAACATGTATCCTCCACTATACTAGTACAGGCTCTACTAGATATACTAGTAACTGCAAACTTGATTATCATCATCCCAGATCCTGTATGAGTAAGTACTTAAAATAGCAGCATTAACAAAAGGGAAGTGAGTAATACGAATAGCTGTGAGGTAAGCTACTCATGGCCTTGACATGTAACCCTTGAAAGCCTCTTCGCCTTCACCGGACTTCGCAATTCGGTGGCTTGAGTCAGCATGCTGCACTGGCCTTGATTGGAAGTGTACATGTCAAACCGGTCAGAACTCGTATTTCCAATTCCAAGTAAGCACTAACGGTAACACGGTTAGTTTGTTCCAACAATAACATGTTACATTCAGGGGTACCGGTGTTGTTGCTAACGTTACCGTTAGTGCCAGTGGATCTTTTGCCGAGAGCTGAGCTAAACCGGATGCGAGAACTGCAATGCAAATACAGGTAGTCAGGTACATTACAGTCGTGTAGATCTACATGTTCAGTGAGGATCGATGCTCGATATCATTGTTGTAGCTTATGAAGTTATGGGGTCCGTTACTCCTTCCCGGACTACGTCCGAACACGGAAGGTGGTAAGTAATTAACTGGCAAGGTGATAGCCTACACCAAGAGTCCATGGTGGGGATTGTGGAGTCCATGGTACGCTCGAGGTCTAGACTGGGGAGGAGCTCCCCTCTTCAATCATGATGCACGAGCACATCATGTAGCAGTTGCAAGGCAGTAATAATTATAGTTACAATGGGCAGATCTGAGGCCGGTCATGATCGGATCAGACATCAGTACTAGACCCACGTGTGTCCTCGGCAGACCTTAGTTGAAACCCTTGTGTTAAGAATGGCCCACTGATGATCATGGTGATGCATGAGACCAAGGCGGTGGTTGCACACTCACATCATGAGCAGATATCAGTCCGGCTATTGGCGCATGGCATGGCACTAATAACGGGTTACGTCAGGTCAACATGTCTCTCCTGCCTCCCCCCCCCCTTCCTCCTCCTCTCTGTCTCTCTTTCTCTCTCTGTCTCTGTCTTTCTCTGTCTCCCTCCCCCGCCTCCCCTCTCTGTCTGTCTGTCTGTCTGTCTCTCTCTCTCTAACAAAGTCTAAGGCTTTTGGAGCTAAGGAATTATAAGAGAGGTACATGTTGTACATGGCTGTGAGTAGACTACAAATATGTTACAATCTTCTCTTGTCTACATGGCATGCCTTATATGACTCTCTATTTGAGCTGATGGAATACCTGTTCGACAAGAAAGAATCTCGCTGCATAGTGTGCCATGGTCACTGAAAGACCGATATGCACTCGTACACATGTACACATGTACGCCTTCTTGTAGTGTGGGATTTCGGAACAGTGCAACCTTCTCTCAGTTGAGTTGGCGCCCATATCTGGCAGGTAATCATCTCGTGCTGCCGCGATCGAGTCTGCAAAGATCTACTGCCCTGGTATTCAGAACCAGCACTGGAAAGTCCCCATCGCAATTCTCTCATCGATCTGTCTCCGACCCGAGAATTAGAAGCCACGTGACTGGAAAGTTGTCATATCCAGTAATCTGGTCTCATGATGAAATGAGTAGCACAACTGAGAAGTTAGGCTGTGGTGATCCAGTGCTGCATGGATGAAACTCTCAAAAACAGTGCTCTCGATTGGGAGAATAGAATTAAAAAACGAGGGCAAATAGTTTGCAAGTAAATAATGGGTTGCAATCTCATTAGTTTTGCCCTAAAGGAGAGGTGCATTTGCTTCAGACTAAAACCCAACGGCTACTTAGATGATCGAAGAAAACCCATAGCCATAATAAATGAGTCAGTGATCTCTCTACAAAACTAGTCGTTTATTCGCCGCCGGGTGGTGAAAGTCGCACATTGACGGTGTCCCACATGACGACCGCCTCAGCACGCGCTTCCTCGGTCCCGGTATAGTCCAGGAAATCTGTACCCCAGAACGCCAGGCCGCGGAGACGCATCTTCTGCACCAGTTCGTACTTGATGGCCAAACTGATCGGATCGTCATACCAGACTTGATGACGCTGCCCGGTGGCCTGATCGACAAAGTCAAAATACGGCGACAGTGAGGCCACATCCCAGTGGCGCCCCGGATTGCTAGCGTTTCCCCGCAGCATCCGAGTGACCCACCAGAACTCGCGCTGCCTGCCGGCTGCGTCGCTGCAGTAGGCACCCTGGTACGGGACCGCGCGGATGTGGCACACGCCAGAAGCCGGCGGAACGTCCAGTGCACTGCCACCGGCCGTTGCATTCTTCGGCTCGATGCATTCATAATCATAACCGTACCATGGCTGCCCCAGCACCAGCTTGTTAGCACTGATACCTAACTTCAAGTAGCCGACCAAGCCCGCCGTAGTCTGTTGCGGGCCCGAGTTTGCTCCAGCAATGCACGGCGCTGGCTTGTAGATTTGACCTTGCTCGTCGTACGACATCACCACCAGAAAGTCGCAGGCGTCCGCAATGCCCTTGGCGTCGTAGCAGCGGCGGTCTACACAGTCTGGCGACCACGCCACGTCAAACGTCACCTGCGAGTACGGGAAGCGAGCGTGGAACGTATCACGGGTCTGCTTGACCAGCTGAACAAGTAGCTCGGCTTCCTTCTTGTGGCCCTGCGGTATAGGTTGCTCCACGTCAATATTGATGCCATCCGCATGGTATTGCACTGCCTGTGTGAGCATGTTCTTCACCCAGGCGTCCACAATATCAGAGTGAGTGAGGTTGGCGACGTCGAAGAACCCCACCAGGACGACACGTACGTTGCGGCTGTGCGCATAGCACATCATCTCCAGAGCGTCGCTGTCCCACTCGCGGAACACGGCGACTGTGGTTAGCTTGCTCCAGTCGTAGTGCTTCCACTTTCCTGGGTGCGTAGAGAAACCGAGCACCTCCTGCCTGGGTACTGCTTCTACCAGCTTACAGTGAGCTGGGTCTTGGCATGGACATGTCGAGGTGGACACTGCTGATGCGGCCCGCACATAGGAAGCAGACGTAACACTTATGGCCATGCACAGCGCCACGATACGAGAAAATAGATCCATCCTGAGCTGAGCCTTTCACCATGCAGCAGAGAGGTAGCCGCGGATGATGTTCCCTTTTCTACCCAGTATTAGCGGAACACTAAACGGCTCCACACACAAATGTCACGTTTGCTTCCACCGTTCTGCATTCCCTGATAAAAACAAATGCTCGCAACCAGCATGCAGCAGCCTGCAACGATTTCTTTGCTTCTCCCAACCCGATCGAACAGTCCTTGCTCACCACGGCACACCACCTGCGGAGCTTTCCCAAGCAACTCCTTTCTGTCAAATCCTCACCTCAGATACTAGCAGCTATTTTCACGTGCAAGCATCATAGCAAGCAATAATTGCTGCATCAGCTGCAACCAACGCAAGCCGTCAAAACTAAATACAAAGTGGAAGTATTGTTGGATCGATTGGCCGTATACATGCCCCGTCGTAGGCCCAAATCATGACATGAAAATAGTCAACGCAAAACACACAGACTTTTATGGTCAACTGAAGAAGTTACTGTGACTGCACCCGTAGATCCGGGAGACGCTTTCGACTCCCCACATAAAAAAGAACACTGCAGGGAGACAGGTGTGTGTCCGGCTCATAGCCATACCATTAACGGCATTAGCAGGAACTAACGTTACTTCTAACTAATCCGGGGAGAACATAACCTCTTGAGTCTCGACCCATGCCCCGCCCAAGGAGTTAGGTTAGCACTCAGGTTGACATTGCCGAGTGCCACTACTGCTGCAAGTGCCAATAGTAAGCAATAGTAATACTTACTTGTAGTAAATCTCCTACAATGTCAATGTACATGTAGATCTATTATTGTAATTTGTAGTCTAAATCTAGTCCTTTTCTGAGTTACTAGAAAAGTACAGTCATAATACACTGCAGATTGTAGACGGGAGTGTAGTCTGCTTACTTGCTACCTATGGCCGGCTATGGCCCGTTTGGGTAGGGCCAGGGATCCACACTGACAGTGACCATGGTGACACTACAACAAGACTGATATGTGTGGATTCCGGCATGTGAACTTGAAACAGGTGGTGAAATCCATACACTACAATCGTGCATATCAATATGCCAGCACCACTGCTCTACAGATCGATACTCAGTGGAGCAAATTATGACCATTCTGCATTCAATAGACCTTGACATTTACCCGCGCGTCACGAGCGGATATTTAAAAAGTGTGTGTTGTGTGCAAACATCCTCGGGTCCAATGCGATTCTGCCACTGACTCGGCCAGTTGCAGCCAACAGTAGTCATCTTCGGTCAGTGTTTCTGGCAAGGTTGGATGCAAGAACACATGCAGGCGGTGTGCAGGCGATGTGCTAGCGGCAGTCTGAAAGAACTGTCGAAAACGATAGCAAGTCGAAGGAAATCGGTAGCAACCAGCGGGAACACAGTGCTAACTATGGCAATAATAATAAGGGCATTGCGCACAGCACAATGGAGTAAAATAAAAGAATGATACAAAACCAGAAATGTGGGGGAAATGAGCACACAGGACACTCTTCACCAGATATCGATAAGAAACAATCTGATGTGGATTTAAAAATTCTGTTACTGTAAAGAAATTTCAACAAGGTCGGCAGCAAGGCGATGAAAGTATTATGCACAAAACTGTACAAATGTCGGATGGAATAATAATGGTACTTATTCTTTTGCTGTTTGCAGATAAGAGTATGGTACTTTTGTGTACAATCTTTCCTAGAATAAAAAGCTGCAGGATGATTGAATAAAATATGTACATATATACAGTCCTTCAGACTAGCGGACAGCAAGAGTCAGGGAAGTAGCAAGTGCTCTATGGAAACATCGAGGCACATCGCACAGCAGTTGCAGGAAGAGGTGAGAGCTAGCTTAGTTACCCGCCTAGCGATGGTTAGACTATTCCGTACTCCGTACTCCGGTAGACTATTACATCGCTCTAGAAGTAGCGGTCCCAGTTGCTGCCGTCCTCGGGAGTAAGGAAGCCGATAAGTAGAAGAATAAGGTCAACGATCCACCAGACGCCTACCCCACCAAGCGTGAGGAGCTTGCCAACGGCATGACCAGTGTAGCCCAAGTAGAAACGATCAGCGCCGGCAAAGCCCAGCAGTACGCTGAAGATGAACGCGATGAGGAAATTGTAGCCATTGTACCTGGTTGACGACACAGAGAATATGTCGACACAGGAGTGTGTGACAGTGGCCTTGTTGCTGCAGGAATTTGCCCGTGAATAAAGAGTAAGCTGATGCTAAAGTACACCTGCTACTGCAGCTGCCATCAGTACCACACCGGGCCGCCCCCAGTATACAAAGCCACAGAAGGAGCAGGTTACACCACGCACACTGCTATGAAAAGCTAAGGACTATCGCTCATCAGCACTACGGCACGGTCAGTTTCAAAGGACACGCACGACAGCAGGAGATTAGTAGTCCACAGAACAGTTCTAAAGCCTTGCAACTATAATACGGGAAAGAACACACATACAATCAAGCCTACTGAGCATTGCTAAAAATGACTTACTTGACACATGGCTCATTGCCGCGTAAGAAATCTGTGTCACCATAGCATTCGATATCGGGTAGAGCATGGCACACGACCTTAGTGTGTTGTACATCTTCGAACTTTGTACCACCGAACTGAACATGAAGTGGAATGGTAAAGGATATTCACAAGGGGGGGGGGGGGGGGGCACACATCAACACACACACACACACACACACACACACATACTCACACCACACACACACATATACACATGGACGGATAGGGACAAATCCGGCAAGAGTACAATTGAGAGGTGTATCGAGCGAGAGTCACAGAAGACTCCCGTACAGAACATGTTCAGAGGGTTTTTCTCGGCAAAAGTCACCAGCACACCTCCTCTCTGAGCATGGCCATATGCTGGGCAAGCAGAAGTGATGGTGACTATAATTGTCTTTGGTACAAACCAATCATGTTTCACAGTGGAGACCTTTTTTCAGACACAAAAGAGAGGTTACACGTTCTGAATTTCTGAATGTTTTTTTTTCGGCTGCTGACTTCGACAATCAGTGAAGCAGTCAAACTTTCGGGAATGTTGAACGGAAAGAGGAACTTCACGCTCCTGAGCAGGAAGTTGTATTCATTTTCTTGATGGATTTTTTACCTTTATCCGCAGGTGCTGTTTTAGGTGCCCATAGCCATACTAACCACTTGAGACACACCAAAACAATTTGAAGCTGAGAATGCAGAGCCTCTCCAATAGGAAGTTGTAATCTGGTTAGGAGTTGCCAACCTCTACTTCGACAGTGGCAGATTCCAGAAAACCCATCGGTGAGCCCTTGCAATTCCTTCAGATCATTTAACACCATACTCCAGGTCTGATATCAATGTGTTCTGACTGCCCACTCCTGAAAAGATTAACCTATTAACTAGTCATATACTGCAAGTACCGGTATGCTTAAAAACTGGGTGTTGAGGTGGGAATTCTGTTTCAATCATTAGTGTCTGTAGAAAGACATACCTTAGTACAGCCATATCCTAGAGCCTCTGCCATAGAAGTATTGCCAGTAAAGTCAGCGACGTCATCGCACTCTACAAACTTGTCCGGCCTGCGAGGAATGAATCAAGCCAATTTATTTTCGCGCACACACGCAGCATGCACATAATATACACAAAGGAATGCATACACACACACACACACACACACATACACACACACACGCACATAGACACACACACACCACACAAACACACACGACTTATTTCTAGAGTACTAGTACTCTGAGGATGGGACTAAACAAAACCAGTCTTACAGAGCACTACACAAAACGAGTGGGCTGTATGGATCAAATTCGCGTCCACATGTTTCGTTCCGACATGGGTTCACAGATTGGCCGTCGCATCCTCCAATCCCAAGAAGCAAAGTCCAGGAAAGGACGAACCAAAGCATGGTTCTATTTTCGAAAAAAAACAAATCCTCTTCACAGCATCTCGCTGGCACTATTATGAGCCCACGGTTTCCACCAGCAGAACGGTTGAAACGATATCCCGAGTGCAGAGTAAAATGAAAACTATAATTATAAACAAAGCAGTGAGCAAGGGCTCCAAGGAGCAAGACAATCTACGAGTGTAGACAAAGCTAGGTAGCTGTCGTCCTTTTGTTTTATTCAAAAATGTACCCGTTCCTTGCAGCATGTGTTGTTCCACTTGTACATGTAGTTACGTCATCTATTTTGGAAATGACGTCATTCTTAGTACATGAAGAAGGGGCGATGAAGGCATCATGACATGAAGCTCGAAGCGACGAAGCCAGGGAGATACCCAACTCCGGAAAAAAAAACAAGAAAGTAGTAGTACCAATAATAATGCGAAGTTGTAAATACATGATTGTGTAGTTTCACAGTGTGCAGATCATGACCTTAAACCAATAATAATGCGAAGTTGTAAATACATGATTGTGTAGTTTCACAGTGTGCAGATCATGACCTTACAGTATAATCTTGCCTCCCGGGCATGCCTTTGTCTTGTGTTCTTTTTCTTTTTTTGTTGGCTTTTAAATATCGTACGGTGTGTGTCCTAGTAAAAATCCAGATGATTGTAATGAATTCATGACATGCTAACAACATGCTATGTAGATCTACCTGTTTTGTTGGATTCATCAGGCATGTGCTCCAATGTACCATCAAAGAGTGTTGTTCTATGCCTGCAAGTGCCGTTAGACCCAGAAATATTGTATATATCACATGCTTTACTGGTCAAAATGTTTGATTGGGGTTTCCAGTTTTTGGAATGGGCTTTTGTTTTTTTTCCGCCCTCCCGCGTACCTTTCCGTGAAAAAAAGGACGTTAAACAATGAATTAACAAAGGGTGGCCTGATGTAGCTAAGAGTAAAACTAAAAGTAATAAACTAATAAGGTCGCTGACTTGATGTAACCAAGACAAGAGAGGTAAGAGTCCCCCCCCCCATTTTATGGGGGGGGGGGTATATAGTGACTATGTCACAAACTCACAAAGTACCGTTGGTCCAACACCCATGCCGTATTGCTTCGTAGCTGGATTTTCAGCCGAATTTTGCAGGCGGCAGGAACTAGATAAAGCTGGTCAAGTGCAGCAAGATGTAGAATCCACAACAAAGCAGAAACTCAGATTTGGCATTTTGGATTGTGCACATTTTTCATCCTGCACCGTACGGCCGGCCGTGGCTGCCACTGGCGCGTACTGTGTACAGCAGTGCATGCGTCGGTTCAACACCGTATTTCATTGTGTACGCCGACGCCGCTTCACAGGCAGAATTTCGACAGGGGGCAGAATAGAAGGGGGGGGGGGAGGGGAGGGGGATCAACTTACTAATTTACGGTACTGTTGGTGGTGGTGTTTGGACCAGGGAGCAGTACAGTGCTAGCTGTGCTGCTCCCTGGTCCAAACACAGCTCAATGCTGCACACAACTTACACACAAGCCGGGATGCGGTGCCATCCCCTACTCTGGGAGGTTACACTTCACTAGCCTTCACAGTAGTTGAATGCAGTCCAATGCCAATGGGAATTCCATCAACAGCATCAGGAATCAAGATACCGTATTTTCCGGAGTATAGTGCGCACTTTAGTTGTGCTATTTTAGGCCCTAAATTGCAGGTGCGCACTATGCTCCGAATATGAAGTGCATGTACTTCAATGAAGATTGAAGTGCGCACCCCCAATGAAGATTGGGGGTGCGCGTTATACAAAGGTGCGCACTACCGTAAAAGTCCGTAAATAAGTACGTATTTACTTTCGAATTTAGTGACCACACCCGTACTAACTTTCGGGCGGGTACTGACTTTCGGGCACGAACTAACTTTCGGACCTGACTTGTGTGTAGTGGAGAAGTCATTTTCATGTCGATGTACATGCTACGTGCAGCATGTGCGCATCGTACCGGTACTTATTTCGGGCAGTATGTTTATCGGGCTTGACTTGACTTCAACAGACAGAGCCAAAAGAATGAAGGGGGTATTTCTTTCGGGCAGGTACTTATTTACGGACTTTTACGGTATACTCCGAAAAAATACGGTACTAAAAATCAATCAATGAATCAAGATACCGTAGATTTACTTTTGCAAGCCCGACTAATCCAGGCCAAAAAACACGGTGTATTGGAAAAACTTCCACAGATGCTGCACATCAGCCAAAACTAATTTTTCGAAGACATCAACAATGCACAACATAGAAGGGAACAACAGCCAGCATGATTACAAATGTAAAAAATCAAAGCCACTAAAAATGCGACTCAAGCAACGTAATGTACACTGTACATATGTATACAAATGGACAACACATACAACAATTTATACAAACTCAGTAATGGAGATACAAAAACAACTTGTACAGTATGTTACAGCTTTATGTACAGGCACTCCACACCTAGAAATACTAGTGCAGCTATCACCGGAAGTTCTGAAGTGGTCTAGTTTTCTCACTCCATTCGCGCTCCAACTCACGTTGAGATGGACCCGGAATTATGGCTGCAGAACAGAGCGCAGAGATCACGGCACACAGCATACTCGTGGTCACTACAAGACATTGAAAGCACCAGTGAGATCGTATGGGTGTAACAGATCAAACAGGTCACTCCATTAGGCATACTGCATGCATATACACTGCATAATGTGAAAGAGATGTGCGCTCAGGAAAACTGGCAACCTGCACTGACGCACACAGTGTTGCAGACACAGCGCAGGGTGAAGTATAGTGCTTCGAGTAACGTTAGATGCCAAAAGGATGAGCGTTCCACGTTGACGAGTCTCTGTCCTGAAGCATTCAGGTTATCAATGCAAGACTGTTAGACAGTGCATACTTACCATGACTTTCTATTTCGATGGGAAGATCAATTTCAGGCGTGGGTATTTCTAAAAACAACAGAAACACACCATAGAATGTGATGGGGCGCCGTGATCCGATAACCAAAGTCAGAACTTGACACAAGGGATACAGTGGGAGCCATCACGTGAAAACTGTCATGCCTGACACCCACGTACAATAACGAGAGAGCTTGAAAGCTCAGAGCCCTTGCTATGCGATGACTGTACGCAATCTTTGCAAAACGGTCTATTCTGACAACGGCTGCTCAACAGCGGTGTCAAAGTTTCTGAAGCCAGTCAACTGGGACCAGGCGAAGCACAACTGCCATCACCTATCAGGTATCCCGTTCGAAGTATGCTCCAACCGTCCGGCAGTAGACACGTTGATTGGAATTGACCACGGCGATCTACATGTTTCGCTGGAGGAGGTCGTCGGTCACCCTGGAGAGCCGATCGCCCGGAAGACTTCCCTGGGCTGGACGTGTGTCGGGCGGACGTCGGGAGAGGTACATGCAGCAAGTGTCCACCATTGCCTGATGACTCAGTCAGATGCCGACTTCACTCAGCTCGTGAGGACGTTCTGGGAAGTGGACAGTCAGGCAGCTGCCGACAGAGCGGCACTTCTGACCCCAGACGGGCGACATGCACAGGAGACGGTCGCGAAGTCAATGAGGCACATTGGGAGCCACTACAGCATTGGTGTTCCATGGAAGGAACACCCTCCCGGAGCAAATACTAACCACATCACTGCTTTGAAGCATCTGGGCAACATCGAGCAGCGGCTGAGGCGAGATTCAGCAGTAGAGGAAGTTTACGTCACAAAGAGAGTGGAACACATCAGCCAGGGGGACATCCCCCTTAACGACTAGTTTTCGTTTCTAAATAAATATCTTTATTTAGTAGGCTATTTACTGATGGGAATTGTGTGTTGCTCCCTACATGGGAGCTCGCGCTTTTCCTGCCGGCTTGAATTCTCACTTGACTATTTACTGATGGCCCCTTTAATATCCAGTTCAGTCTGATTCTTTGCCTCTCTCCCCACTCACTTGTAAATAGAACCATCCTATTTGCTAAATGCTGATCTTTGTTGTGGTGGTGCAGGGGAAGAAGGGAAGTTAGTTTACAGGGAACTATGGCATAGCATACGACATCAATATTCATTCAGTATTCACCTAGCACATTGCAACGCTTCACCTTACCATCTTTTGGCAACGAGTCCTTAGCCCATTCTTCATCAACAATATCCACTAAGCGCGGATCAATGTGTCCCTGATGAAGTTGTCCATCGGCCTTTATTTACACACCAACAAGTCATACATACACAGTAATCAAATGTCACTATCGTGAAGTAGGTATCTGGTTGCCAGTTATCGCAGCACATAGGATATCCCGATAAGACTGGGAGTACAGTTGGGCGTCAGTTATCCGGCACCCTCAGGACTGGGCGCTGTTGGATAAATGAACATTCTGGATAACTGAAGCTACATAGCCACCTTTGTGTTCACACATCAAAAGGACTGTACATCATGATTTGACCTGTATTTAGATGCTCTGACTGTTACTAGTATTATCATGAGGCAGTCGTCGTGCTCAGTCATGAGACTGATCATTCGTATGTAACGTTCCAGAAAGGCAACGTTCATGATGGTCACAGTCCAAATTTACATGAAATAGAACAGTAAAATTAATATAGTTTTTCACTCACAAAGCAACTGTTCACTACTAGTGGTCTACCAGAGCAATAACACTTACAGTTGCTTTGTGAGTGAAAAACTATATTTACTTCTATTTCAAGCAAAATTTGGACAGTGAGCATTATTGCTGTTGACCACAGACTACAGTACATCAGTACAGATGTATAACGTACGACAGCTAATTACATTCAATGATGAGACCAACTCACCATGATTTGATGATGGTTGAATTGTGAAGTCAACTGCAAACTACAGTCCAAAACTGTCGAGCTCGTCTTCTAAAGCAACTGCTTCAAATACAAGTACTAACAGACCATCATAACGTTGTTACATGTATCATCGCATAGTCCAGTGTGTTTAGCTGTTTACACAAGGAAATAGTTAGTTCCTCTATCACTGGGACACTGGCATCAGGTCATCATGAACTATCAGCAGGTTTTGAATACAACAAGTACAAAGTCATGTAGATCTACATGTACAGTAATTCAAAAGTCAAAACCGAAGCCACAGGATCGGAGGCAAGGATGCCAGTGAAAATACTGTCTACTATTGGTAAAGTATTGTGGCCGAAATAGCTCAGTTGGGAGAGCGTCAGACTGAAGATCTGAAGGTCCCTGGTTCAATCCCGGGTTTCGGCATTTCTTTTTTTGTTTTGTTTTGTCCATGTCACTGCGCGTAGATCTACGTAGATCAACTGCATGCGGATTGCGGAACAGCTAGCTAACAGCTGACATGATAGGTAGGACTAAAGGGACAAGCCCAACTATTTTTGCAGTTTTCTGTCATAAAAAAATAAACGTCACAGGCTGCTCTTCGCAGGTGTCCGCGTCGGAGCGGTCCGGGCGAGCGACCGCATCTCAGTGGGACACTTGTCCGTGGCCGTTGTACTGGAAATCTGTGGCAGAACCTTGCCATGCCAGAGGCTACACACACCCGGGTACCTATACCGGGATAGACAAATCCTTGGTGTTGCTTCTTTCATTTTTATTTGTTCTTGCTGAGAAAGAAACGTTGCTGCTTGGAAAGCTTTCTGTTCACTCCAGCGACTTTCCTCTAGTAACGTTGCTCACTGATAATGATCATAGCTCGTGATACCAATGGTGAAGAGAAGCTGGGTTTCTTGCCATTTGCAACTTCCTGGCTCTGAAAATATAGCTTGAACAAATAAGAGCTCCAAGTATTTTAGTTTTAGATTTCGATGTGCCAGACCTATCGTTACGAGATGCAGAGATGAGGAGCAAGGGAGGCGTTGGACTAATGCCAATAATGGTTTTATGGCCCAGACAACGCCAGCGATTTTCACTTGTCAAGAGGACAGTCAAGTTGGAGCAGGCAGATGACAGATTATTTGAGCATTTATAGCGGAGTGGGTGGTTTGCTAAAGAGAATCGTCTCAGTACCTCATGGTTACTAGTATCTGACAAATGCCTCTTATTGCTAGTCTGCATTATTGAGCATAGCAGAATTGATCATGTCACAAGTAGTGTCAAGACTTGATGTCCTACGATTATACTCAGATCATGTTGTAACTTCACGGGAATATCCGTCCTGCCACTTTACGCTCTCCCAAAATTGCCTGCAGGAGTCACGTGCCTGTGCAAGGGACAATGCGTTTGCATTGCTTACGGATGCAAGCGGATGGAGTGTAGACCAGATGAGAAAAAGTGATCCGGATATTCAACTAGCTTGGACCGCCATTATAAATTTGCCTGATGCCTGGACTATCTGAACATTGCTCCAAACCAATCCACAGAAGCAATACCCACACAGGAAGCCAAATGATAAATCCATTCATCAGCTATCGAACCTTTCATCAAAACATAATGCAGTGCATGCCTACTACTACTCAAACGAGATCAACGGATGCCACATGCCACACAGATACAACGTGGAGGCTCAGTATTTTCAAGACCCCGTGCAGTCTAGACAACTAGAACAACGAGGTTTGCACCTAATGTCCCTCGATTTGCTTGCCGTATTTAGTTCCTTGCAATTGAAGCAAGCCGTATCCGAGAACCGGTCACTGAGTTTGCAGTGTCGTCGTCGCGTGTATGTTGCCGTGGTGCTCTCTACCCTCCTGTACGGCGCCTCAACCTGGACAACGAAGGCTCCGGACCTACGACACCTCAACCTTTTCCACCATCAATGTGTCAGATCTATCGTTGGAGTGTCGCGACGGCAGCAATGGGAGACCCACGCAACGTCCTCAGCCCTTGCAAAGGCCCTTGGAGTGCCTGAGGACATTGGTCACATCATACGGGAATGACGTTTGCGCTGGCTTGGACACGTGGCACGGAGGGAAGATCACCGGTTGCCGAAGTGTGTTCTCTTCGGTGAACTGCCTGCCCCGCGCCCCGCGCGTGATCCACGCAAGAGGTGGAGGGACGTTGTTATGCATGACTTTGAGCCGGTTGAGCCACCGGTACCAACATGTGGATGGTACGATGCAGCCCAGAACCATCCGGAGTGGCGTGCCATTGCCCATCGACCACACAAGGCACCCTCTGCTGCTGGCTACGGTTGCGCCTGCGGCCGCATGTTCCGTCGAAGCGGCGACCTGAAACGCCATCAGTCATTCTGTCGTGGACTGGAGAAATAACAATGCGGTATCATTGCTACGCAATGGGCAAGGTCAAGGTGTGTTTATGGTGGTACAGGTAATGCTATGTACGCCTCTTTGGTCGCTCACACATTATCCATTGCCGGCATTGGTTACACGTTATTATCAATTTGTTATGACCTTCGCTGGTCTGCACACCCACCCACTCTACTCTCTACTCTACTCTCTGAAGTTGAGACTTTCGTTTGCCATTTCATCCGGTAGTTTGACTCTCTGAGAATATCCCTGCTACATGTACATGTATAATATAATTTATACTTTACAATTATCCTTGTACGTGTCTATCTTCTTGACACCATGACTTTCTTTGAAGGTCTTGTAGCTATGAAATGTTATTTGCTGCAGGCCATGTGTGTGGTGTGGTGTGTGTGTGTGTGTGTGCATCCGTGAATGTCCCACGCTTGGCCCGTGGGTAAATATACAGTCATGTATATGTTATATGCCACACCAATTTCGCTATCTGTATAATATTATGCAGCACATGTTGTAGTTTATGGTAACGTGGCAGCCACTGGCTGGAACTGTATTGTTACTTGTGCATGCTCTGCTTGGCGTGATGCCATTTTCCGTGTATTGATTGTAGGTTAGTGAGTGCGCGTCTGCGCGGTGGTGCATGCTTTTCCATTCACTGATTGACCTGTCAGCGGTCAATCTTCTAGTTGCGGTCTGCGCTGCCCTTATTCCGAGTTTGTAGCTTTTGTGTGCATCCTGACTTATGTATGGAGTGTGCTTGCGTGCACGCTTGCTACGCGTTACTTTTGGCAAGCTGGCCATGGTTCTTTTTCTGGCTTAGCTTCCGTTTGATCTTGGCGTGGAGTTAGTTCCAACTTGTGGTGATAACAGACGTTTCTCATTTTCCATCTAGAAGAATAACTAATTTCCTTGGAAGCTCTGTGGTGTTGTGAGTGAACTGGCCGTAAGCCGGCGTGGAGTGCATGTTCTCCAACAGCTTTTGGTGCCGAAACCCGGGACAACGTGTTGCAGAGTAGGACTTTTGTGGAGTCGGAAGGAAATAGAAAGTCTTAGTGTTTGTTCATGAGAATAAAATGTCTGTGAAGTTGGATGGATTTATGCGTCCGTACCGAGGGCGAGGTGACGACCTAGATGTATTCTGGTCAAAGTTTATGATCCTGGCGAAATCCCACAAGTGGGATACGGGCAAAGAGCAGATGGCAAACTTGCCGTTGCTCTTGGATAAGGCTGCGTATACTGTATTCAACGCCATGCCCGACTCGGACAAGGAGAAACCTGACGAGGTGAAGAAGGTGTTGACTGAAGCCTTTGCTCCTTCTGCTGCGGAGTGTTACCGCTTGTTCAAAGCGCGTTCCATGGGATCCACAGAGTCAGTAGACGAGTATGCGGCGGAGCTAAAGAGGCTGTTGAAGAGCTCTGGTCACAACATTGCGGACGACAAAGATCCGATGCTGTTAGAACAGTTTGTTGGGGGCTTGCCCAGAGACTTCGCCAGAGAGGTGAGAATCCAGTGCTCTAGCGGTAGCATGACTCTTACCGATATGATCAAACGTGTCAGGGCTATGTCCGTCGATGATACTATAAGTGTCAGTGGAGGGAAGTCCGTGGCTGCAGCTGTCAGGTGCTATTCATGTAAGGAGCCTGGTCATGTAAGAAGGAATTGCCCTAAGGCCAAGGGCAACAGCCACACCACTGGCAAGTCACGAGGGCCACAGTGTTACTCTTGCAAAGAGTATGGCCACATCAGGCGAAATTGTCCAAAGGCCAAGACTGAGTCTGCTTCAGTGGCTGTGAGTGCTGGGCATTGTCAGGCTGGAGTGTCTACTGATGCTGACGGAATCCCAATATCAACTGGTGGGCAGAGCTCTAAGCTGCTGAAAGTTGATGTGTGTGTTAAGGGCCATGATGACTCTTGGATATCAGTCGCAGCGGTTGTGGATACTGGATGCACGCGATCTCTGATGAAAGAGAGTGTAGTAACTGCCGTGGGCCTGGCTGATCAGGTGGAATCGACAACTGACTGGGTGGTCGGCATCGACGGCACGTCCCTGGAGTCAGTTGGATCTGTTGCTGCGACTGTCCAGCAACATGATGATATAGTTCAGCTTCCGGAACTGTGCGTGGACTTCCTGGTAGTTTCAAAGCATGAGGGAGTGGATGCTGACCTGATTCTTGGCAATGACGTTGCCAGCGCGGCTGGTGGTCTTGAGATACGCTACCAGAATGGCTCGGCGAGTGCTATTCGGTTCGGAAAAGGGCCCGATGTAGCGGCTGCCGCAGCTGGCCATGCTGAACGAGCGCCGAAGCAGAAGCTCTCGAGGCACATCTCTGTTGAGCGAGATTCGGATGGTGTCACCCTCAGTTCAGCCGACTTCAAGGTGCGCTGGGACAATAGTGCAAAGTCGTGGACCGTCGCCTGGGTCTGGGGAGGTGGTGTAGAGCCGACTGATAGCATTGGCTCCGGAGTGACACAGTACTCACGGAAGAAGCTCTCTGCAGAGCAGGAGCAACAGTACCAGAAGGAGGTGCAGTCGTGGATCGACCATGGTTGGATGGTGCCCCATGATCCAGATCGACACGGCAAGTCAGGTGCGATCCTCCCTCTAATGGCTGTGTGTCAAGGACACAAGGCGTCTACGCCTGTACGTCCCTGCTTAGACTACCGTCGTTTGAATGAGGCGATTCTTTCCCATCCTGGAGGCGACGCGCCTGCATGCGACCAGAAGATCAGGGAGTGGAGACGCCGTGGCGGTGACCAGGTAGTCGTCGATATCAAGAAGGCGTTTTTACAAGTTCACGTCGACCCCAGCCTCGTTCGGTATCAGACCGTGGTATTCAATGGAGTCACGTATGTCATGGAACGAATGGCATTTGGTCTCAGCATAGCTCCGAAAGTCATGGACGCCATCGTGAAGTTTGCGCTGTGCGACTTTCCTGATGCAGACAACTATGTCGACGATGTCGTTGCTCCGTCCGAACAACTTCCGGAGGTGACTGCGGCGCTGAGTCGGTACGGATTACCGACGAAGCCACCAGAGGTACTTGCCGGCGCAAGGGTGCTTGGCATGCAACTATCGGTTGCTACGTCGAGTGAAGACGTGATGTGGCGTCGCCGTGATGGCATGGATCTGACGTTGCCAGAGCAGCCGACGAAGCGAGAAGTGTTCTCCTGGTGCGGTCGATTGACGAGTCATTACCCTGTTGCATCGTGGCTGCGACCGTGCTGTAGCTACATCAAGCGAGTGAGCTGTGAAGATGCTGCGGTTTGGGATAAGCCTGTCTCAGCTGCGCTCGAGAAGTTGTGTCGTGCGGTGGAGGATCAAGTTTCACGAGAGGATCCCGTCAACGGCAAGTGGACAGTCAAGTCGACTGGTGGCGTGTCCCTATGGTGCGATGCATCCAACCTGGCGCTAGGTGTTGTCATCAGCGAAGATGGCTCCGTGATTGAGGATCACTGTTGGCTCAGGCCTAAGTCAGACAAGCGGCACATCAACGTTGCCGAGTTAGACGCCGTCCTTCGTGGCTTGTCTGCTGTCGTGGATCACAGAGTGGCCAACGTTCGAGTCATGACCGATTCGAAGACGGTGCATGGATGGCTAAAGTCTCTCTTGGGCAACATCCAGCGAGTGAAGGTGAATGGCCTCTACAGAGCTCTTGTAGAGCGTAGATTGCAGCTGATTGACGACTTGGTCGAGGTTTACAAGTTGAAGATATCTGTCGAGTGGGTGCCTTCACAGAAAAACCTGGCTGACCGTCTGACCCGTGTGCCGGCATCCTGGCTCAAGATGCCCGAGTCACCGGTGGTTGCGGCGGCGACCCAGAGCAGTGCGTGTGCAGGTGTCCACAGTTCTGCCCCACTTGCCTTCGACATCATCCGGGACCAGCAGGGAGCAGATACTGCCATCCAGCAGACGGTGGAGGATGTCAACGGTATGCAGACAGTTAGGGCGAAGCAGTTTCAGAAGGTGGCACCACAGCTGAGAGTGCGGGATGGCGTGCTGTATCGGTCAATCAAGTTGCCGCCTGCCAATGAAGCATGCGAGGTGCCCGTGATTCCGAGCTTGCTAGAGCAAGATGCCCTCCGAATCGCCCATGAGAACACTGGCCACGGATCATGGGAGGTGGTCCATGAGATGATGCGTCAGCAGTGCTACCTTCCTGGGATGGCAAGGAAGTGCCAGGAGTTCGTCGGTCTTTGCGACAGTTGTGCCGCTGCAAACCCTGCTGCTGGTGGTCATGCTTCGCCGACACGTCCCGAAGTGCCGGCGCGCCCATGGCAAGTTGTGGCGATTGATACCTTGGAGCTAGGACCGAGCCGAGCTGGGTTCCATTGCGTCTTGGTGTGTACGGATATGTTCACGCGCTATGTGGAGGTGATACCTTTGAAGCACCATGACGCTAAGTCAGTTGCCGAGGCGTTTGTGTCTGTGTGCTGCCGATGGGGTCCGCCGGAGGTGGTCAGATCAGACAACGGAACAGAGTTCGTCAATGCTGTCATGGACGCCTTGTACTTGGCGTTTGGAGTGGAAGTCAAGCACGGTGCAGTGCGACACCCTCAGTCACAAGGAAGCGTGGAGAGATTCAACCGGACCCTGTTGACTCTGATTCGCAAAGTACACTCGCAGTCCAACGACTGGAAGACCGACCTGTCAATGCTGCTGTACTTCTATCGCGTCCGACCGCATGGAGCAACGGGAGTTTCGCCTCAGCTAGCGATGACTGGTTGGCAGCCCCGTGGTCTTGTTGTAGAGGCCCAACAGCCCCTGTACACCTTGCCAGCATGGACGGCTGAGCTGCAGCGTCAAGCAGCTGCCATTCGTGATTTGATCGATGAAGAAATGGCGTCAGCTGATTCCCAAGAAGACGCCGACAAAGCAAGTTGCTGTTACGGGCCTGGTGACGTGGTGATGATGAAGATGACCAGCCGCGCGCAGAAACGCCTCCCGAAGTTTCAGCTTGGCTGGAGAGTCAAGAAGGTGTTGTCGGAGTCGACTGTAGTCGTTCAGAAAGTGGAAGACCCCAGGGTGGAGAAGATCGTCAACGTAGAGCTGCTGAAGCGTGCCGCAGCCAATCCTACTGTAGACCTGCCTGAGCCGCCTCAGCCAGATGATGCGAGCGAGGATGACGGTGGTTACCCGATGCGGCTAGAGCCCGGTGAGCTAGTCGCAGGTGTGCCTAGAGCTGAAGAGCCAAGATATGTGCTCCGGAACAGAGCTGGTATCAGGGCTCCAGTGAGATACGACTGAGAACTAGTAGCTGGTGATGGTTCGCAGAACTTTCATGTCCTTTCGTTTCTCTTTGCTTCTTTCGATGTGCTTGCCTATTATTGTCTTTTTAAGGTGATGTTACCAGGGAGGGAGATGTTGTAGTTTATGGTAACGTGGCAGCCACTGGCTGGAACTGTATTGTTACTTGTGCATGCTCTGCTTGGCGTGATGCCATTTTCCGTGTATTGATTGTAGGTTAGTGAGTGCGCGTCTGCGCGGTGGTGCATGCTTTTCCATTCACTGATTGACCTGTCAGCGGTCAATCTTCTAGTTGCGGTCTGCGCTGCCCTTATTCCGAGTTTGTAGCTTTTGTGTGCATCCTGACTTATGTATGGAGTGTGCTTGCGTGCACGCTTGCTACGCGTTACTTTTGGCAAGCTGGCCATGGTTCTTTTTCTGGCTTAGCTTCCGTTTGATCTTGGCGTGGAGTTAGTTCCAACTTGTGGTGATAACAGACGTTTCTCATTTTCCATCTAGAAGAATAACTAATTTCCTTGGAAGCTCTGTGGTGTTGTGAGTGAACTGGCCGTAAGCCGGCGTGGAGTGCATGTTCTCCAACACACAGTGGCAGGCATAGAGAGAGAGAGCGAGAGGGAGAGAGACGTTTTAATGTCTCTGATGTGAATTCTTCACTACTACATAATCTACATTGTACTTGTATGATCGAGCGTATGAGTGTGTGTGTGTGTGTACTTGTATGATCGAGCGTACAAGTGTGTGTGTGTGGGTGTGCATTTGCAGATTTGGTGCTTCTCTTGCGACGGGCGTATACATGGTGTGTGTGGGTGCATCCGTGAATGCCCCACGTGTGCGTAAATATACAGTCATGTACATGTACGTGTTCTGTGCCATTCAATTTCACTAACTGTATATGCAGCACAGTGGCAGGCATAGAGAGAGAGAGAGAGAGAGAGAGAGAGAGAGAGAGAGAGAGAGAGAGAGAGAGAGAGAGAGAGAAAGAGAGATACGTTTTAATAATGTGTCTGAGGTGAATTCTTCACTACTACATGTACTTGTATGATCGAGCGTACGGATGTGTGTGTGCGTGTGAATGTCCCACGCATAGCCACGTGCGCGGTGCCACACAATTTCATTATGTGTAGAACAGCGGCTGGTAGAGAGATAGAGACAGACAGACAGACACAGAAAGACAGAAACGGAGGGATGCTGCGCATAAAGAGCGACAGACAGAGACACAGACTCAGAGAGAAAGAGACAAAGCACAGACTGAGGAGAAAACAGACAGATACAGACAATCAGACACAGAAAGACCGAGACAGAAACAGAGGGACGCACATAATGAATGACAAAAGGAGAGACAGACACAAAGACTCAGGGAGCCAGAGACAGAGGGTCCTTAGGGAGAGACAGTGAGAAAAAAACTAAGAAAGGGAGAGGCAGATCGAGAAGGAAGAAGACACAGAGACTGAGAGAGAGACAGAAGAGAAGCAAACGGAGAAACAGCGACATAAGTACAGGGCCAAGAAGACAGACAAACATAGAGAGACAAGCAGAGACAGACCAAGACAGGGAGACAGCTGGAGAGTTACACAGATAGGCAGACAGAAAGGCCGTGACGAAGATTCAGAGAAACACAGAGAGAGAGAGAGAGAGAGGGGGGGGGGGGGAGAGAGAGAAGAAGAGAAGAGAGAGAGAGACACGCGCACACGCACACACACACAGAAACAGAGAGAGAAAACTGAGAAAGAAAGAGACAGAGAACAGTGACCGAGTGAGGGACAAAGAGAGACACACAGAGAAAGACTGAAGAAGAGAAGCAGACAGAAAAACAGAGACAGACAGATGGAGACAGAGAAACAGAAAGGAAGACAGACAGACAGACAGATGGACAGACAGACAGATAGGGACAGGCACACGGACAGAACGAGATAGGCAGACAGCTAGAGAATGACAAAGACAGGCATACAGAAAAACCAAGACACAGACAGAGACACATAGACACAGAGAGAGAGAGAGAGGCAGACAGATAGATATATTAATAGAATAGAGAGACAGACAGACAGAGAAACATGTGGAGACACACAGATACGAGAGATTTCGTTCGTTGGATTTCTAATACTGAAGTAGTATAATACAAGTAGGTAGCAGCATAATGCACACAGATCTAGAGTGCTGAGAGTTGTCGAATGCGGCGAAAGCAGAGTGTAGTAGACACTACTGTACAGGAGTGAAGCAAAGCTGATTTGTTGTAATGCTGCCTGACTGCTTGCCTGTGTGCAATAATGAGGTGAACTCATAAAACAGTGAGCCGAAAAAAAAATGATTAAAAAGCCGATTCACAAACCAGGTAAAGACAGGAAGAGAAGGAAAGATATGTGCGCATATACCCTGCACCCGTGCACGCACACACACACACAAACACAGAAGGGAGTTGATAGGTGGAGAATTGCGAAAACAGGGGACCCAGTGTGCCCTCAAGGAGATAAAGAGATAGAGATAGATAGAGAGATATTTTTGGCACAGTATATTCGGCCCTGGTTTAAATATGGCTTTGGAATTTATTTTTCATTGCAATCAGGTTCGGCCTCATTTCTCTGTGCTGTGCTAATGAGTCCACAAAGGACGAAACAGTTCTGTCCCCAGATTGGATAGATAGATAGAGATGAAGATAGAGAGAGAGAGAGAGAGAGAGAGAGAGAGAGAGAGAGAGAGAGAGAGAGAGAGAGAGAGAGAGAGAAAGAGAAAGACATAGGCAGCTGTCTTGGTCATTATCATCCGATGTATTCCGTGTGGCGTAGACCAGGTGTGCATTGAGAATCCTTTCACAAGGCATCGCAATAATTATAATTACGGAATTGGGCAGTAATGCTGTGCTAGTCTTGATATGTTTCACTCAGGTCATGTCTGATATCGTTGGCATAAGAGAAAATCAGTGGGTGTACATCCACTGCACTTGCAAACTTGCGTGTCTCTCTTGCGACGAATGCACATGGTACTTGGTGTCTGTGTCAATTGGCTCATTCTGTGGGCGAGTGGTCACTGCCTGAGTTCAATGTCGGAAAAGGTAAGTAGCTCTAGAGTGCAGTATAGAGAAAATTATGCCAAATACGCGGTCATTAGGAGAGACTATACCAGCAACTTCGACTCATATACTTCAATATCTAATTGGATCTGTATAGAAGACGCTGCTCAGTGGTATTGGAGTTGTGGTTGATCAACAGCGTATCTTTTAGGTACATGTGGCATCCATTGGTCTTGTGTGAGTGACACTAGGCATGAAACCGGACAACGTTGGTGAAAGTTTTCATTACCAAAGAACTTGATTGGTTTGCCATTTAGCTTCCTGTGTGGCGTCACATCGTTTCCGTGGACTGGTTTAGATTCTTGCCCACGTTTCCAGGAGTCCAGCCAATTAATAGCAGCCGAAGCTATTTGAATAGCCAGATTATGTCTTCTTATCTGCTCTGCACTCCATCCGCTTGCATCAGTAAGCAATGCAAACACGTTGTCCCCTGCACAGGCACGTGACTTCTGCAGGGAATTCCGGGAGAGCGTAAAGTGGCAGGACGAATTACCGTGAAGTTGCCACATGATCTGAGTACAATCGTAGCACATCAAGTCTTGACACTACTAGTACTTGTGACATGACCAATTCTGCTATGCTCTAATGCAGACTAGCAATAAGAGGCATTTGTCAGATACTAGTAACCATGAGGTACTGAGATGATTCTCTTCGGCAAGCCACCCACTCTGCAAAAAAATGCGCCAAAATTAATAATCCGTCATCTGCCTGCTCCAACTTGACTGTCCTCCTGACAAGTGAAAACCGCTGGCGTTGTCCGGCCATAAACACCATTATTGGCATCAATCCAACGCATTAATCCAACGCCTTCGTTGCTCCTCATCTCTGCAGCTCATACCAATAGGTCTGGCACGTCGAAAAACTAACATACTCGGAGCTACTGTACAAGCTACATTTTCAGAGACAGGGAGTTGCAAATGGCAAGAAACCCAGATTCCCTTCACCTTTGGCATCACGAGCAATGACCATTTATCAGCCAGCAATGTTTTACTAGAGCAAAGGCGCTGGCGGGAACAGAAACAGCAACGTTTCTTTCTCAGCAAAAACAAATAAAAAGGAAAGGAACAAAAAAGGATCAACACCATGTACCAGGGATTCGTCCATACCTGGTACCCAGGCCAGGTGTGTACTACCCCTGGAAAGGCTCTCCCACAGATTGCAGTACAAAAGCCACGGCCAAGTGTCCCACTGAGGTGCGGTCGCTTGCCCGGACCGCTGGGACGCGGACACCAGGGAGTCGTATAGACCCGGGAGGCGACACGCGCATCACTTGTGCACAACCATGATCGACTCAACGATTCAAAATATTACGACCTGCTCGGTGTGGGACAAGTCCGTACATAGCCTATAGGCCATAGCGCGCGGGAAATCCGTACATAGCGTCGTCTTCGTCCTTTCGCTGAACAATTGTGGTCAGACTTTCGATCTCCATTGCCGAAATACAGCCATCTGTGGCCATCGCTGAGGAGTTCACTAATAAAGGGTCTTGTTCACTGGCTTACTCACCGGCTTTGCACTGCCACTCGAACTCTGAGGCACTTTGACCACCTAAGATGAGGTAATCCTTTCTTTACAAATTGCCTCAATATTTTCTCACCTTTAGGGCAATGAAGTAATTTTTTTCCTCTTGACTAACTTCGACCGACCAAGTTGCCCTGTCCCAGTGATCTACAATACTTATATTGCACATTTGTGAAATATTGGACCTATCCAGATAAACGAAATGACTTATATTCGAAATTACATTTTCCAAAGTTTTCCTTCACAAATAGTCCCAATTTGTTCTCACCTTTAGGGCAATGAAGTAATTTTTTTCCTCGTGACTAACTTCGACAGACCAAGTTGCCCTGTCCCAGTGATCTACAATACTTATATTGCACATTTGTGAAATATTGGACCTATCCAGATAAACGAAATGACTTTTATTCGAAATTAC